TGTGAGGATCATTAAGATAAAACAATATTATAATATTATTATAACAGCATATGAATTAAATTCAATCTTACCCATTTCGAACAGCAGTAGCATCCGCCACCGTGGCAGGCATGATGAAGAAAGAGTTGGCTGATACAGCATCTTGGAAACGGTTGATGTAGCGCAGAAAGTATGGTAGGTTGAGGCACACTCTCAGCAACTTCTCAGACCCACCTGCACAAAGATTGTTTTTATAATAATGGTTGCTTTAAAAAAATATGCAATATAGAGACACTGTGTACCAATTAATACAGTATCTTGCAATATCACAAGTTTATACTCACCAAGTTCCTGTAAGCTTGACACATTCTGAGAGACAAAGGCATTTTTCATTTTGGCTTGAACAGCTTGATCTGAGGTTTGGTCTTCACAATCACTCTCTGCCTATGATTTTGTAGGAGTGAAAAAATACATACATCAATTTTAAGCATTTGTTGCACTACTGCAGATAAGCTTTATTTTTGTACAATAAAAAGAAAAATAAAGCCAAGACCTTAACATTTTCAGTTCAACCCTTGGGTCCATTCTAATACTATACATATTAATTCTTGTAGATTTTGTAGTAATGTCTTTCTTTTAACAAGGGATATTTGCCCTACACTTCAAACAGGACAGAATTTTTGTGGTACTGGGTTGGACTGACATTATACTTAATGTGTAAGAAAGAAATTCTTTTTTATTTATATGTACTTTGAAATACAATCAAAACAAGGTGGAGTCATTTTTGACATCAGAGAAGCAAAGGTGTTGACTGGAGGACACTATAAGGGTGAATCAGACAAAATGTGGTAAAGACGACACAGACTGTTCTCTGGATTTACCTGCATTTGTGCTCCAGACGGTGATCCCAAGATGGATGTAAGGTCAGGGTTAAAAACTGAAGTCAGTTGATTGAAGAAGTTCATTTGTACTTCTTTTTGTCGAAGCTCTGGATTCACAGCAGTGGGCAATTCCTTCTGGTCTTCCACTGATGTAGAAATACATATTATAGTCAGACTAATTTCAGTAGATGTTTTGCGCAATGGTTGTGGTAATATTCTGTAATTTCTTCAGCCTCAGCATTCAAATTTAACAAGAACATTGCCTATTGTCATTTATGACTTGGTGAGTTTAACAACGATCCAGCAAGCTAAACAACCAACAGCATCAAAATCGTTGTAGATTAGACTGAACTTTATTTGTCACATGGGAAATTGTTGACACAAAACTTTTCAGTGATGTGTTTGACTATTCCAGATGAATAACATTCTTTCCCAAATGTTATAGTGTTTCTTTTTTCCTTTTTAAGTATTGTAAATCCAGACCTTCAGTGAAAAAACACTTACCATCTGACAGGGTCTTGATGGTTTGAGGCAACTTGGCAGACTTCATCATAGCAGTAAATGTTATGATTTCTGTGCGATCTAGTCTGCTGCTGCCAGTGCAAAGTCCTTTTATAAGGAGAATCAGGTGTTTCTGTAAGAACAAAAAAATCTATTTGACAGCTGAATTTGCAAAACTTTCCATTAAAAACAAACAATTAACGACGTAGATTTTAAAAAGGCAATGTAAAGCAGGCAAGCAAATTTAAAAATATCTAAGTTGTGGACAGGGCATAAAAAGATATATTTAGCAGCTTCATCACAATTGCAAACTCTCCTGCTGATCTTTCTTCTTACCTGTGATACCGCACATGCTTCATCTGGGTTCTCCAAACGCAGCAATGAGAACTCAATCAATACTTTGCACGCTGCTGCAACTGACAGCAGCTGATTTCTTGGTACTAGAGAAGTGGGGAAAGATAATTTATTAATTAGAAAAATATGTTGATACATTTATGAATATACATTATGTTAACTTACTTAAAAATAAAGAAATACATACTTTGTCCACATACTGTGGTTATGTAATGTGCGGAGAGCGCCACAAATGAAGAGTAGAAGGGCTCATACTGTTTGTCGTGGTGAAGAATGTCTGATTCACTGCAAATGAAAAAAAAAACAACATAGTCATCTAGTAAACGGACAGTTTAAAGAGACAGAATTCAAAGTAAATTTCTGTGCTGAACATTGCTAAAAAGGTACCAAAACACAGCAACTGCAACAGATTACAAGTCCACTTGGGATGTAACATATTTCTTCCCAAACTGCTATACAGGAAGTCCTGTCCAAATACAAGCGTGAACGAAATGTTCACATTATATTTTAAAAAGTGTGGAGAGGTAACCATGATTATTCAAAGCAGAGCACAATCACAACTGCTTGCTTCCTCACTATAACATAGTGGCTACTCACATAAGCCATTTAAACAACGACGTTCAGCATGTAGATGACGCTATACCAGCTAACTCATAAGACAACATAATAACTTTCTCTCTGTTGTAGCTACTCTTTCTTAGGTTTTAAAAATAAAAGTAATGTGTTAAAATAATAAAATAAAATTCAAACCTTTTGCAAGTTTTTGGGAGATCTCTTGTTGGAACACTAAATATTTATTGCACATAAACAAGGTGTGAGAATTAAGTTTTAAAATTAGATCTTATATTTAAGAATGCGCAGGCGATTTTGTTTTACTGCACAAATGTTTAACAAACTTTGCTATGTTTCGGTGGGTAAATATCTACTTTTTTATGACTTGAAGGTTTTCTGTCCTTTCCTACCATCAGCTATTATACTATTCAATACACAGCTGTAAGATTGTTATAGTCTAGCAACAAATTACAATTTTCCTTTCATATTATACTTACACCAAGCATCTAATTGCACATAGCAACACCGTGAATTGTTGTATTATTTTGTTTTCTTCTTTTCTACATACACTATAACTTTAGTCACTTTATTCCTCTCTGGAAATGGTCACTCTACTGATATACACTTTGTAAATACTGTGCCTAACTTGCTGTTATTTTACCACTACGTGCCTATCCTGCTGCTGTAACAAGAATTTCCCCGGTGTGAGATGAATAAAGAAAAAAATACGCATATCTAAAGGCCGAATAGGAGCATTTTCATTCAGGTCCTAGCCCCATCACATTGTTTTCTTAAGTTAAGCGGCTGCCATTAGAGTTTTACTGATGTTAAATGTTCAAATGTAAGTAAAACTTGGCAAATTTTTAAGAATATGATTTTTGATGTGTCCATCCAGGCACTTCCACCAGACACCCAAGATCTACAACTAACAAACAGGAACGTGGCAAAACCAGCAAAATACTTACTGTGACATTTTTAATGCTACCTTATTCTGACTTATTCTGACTTATTTTAAACGCCATTAGTTCGCTCGGAGGCTAATGTTTCTATTAGCTTGCTAATGATGAAGCAAATTTCCTACATATTAAACCGGCGATTACACTAGCGTTTGCATTGCAACTGTGTGACATAATCATTCATCGTTCAGCGGTATTAAATTAGACTAGTACTCGTTTTACAATTCTGAACAAAAAAATAAACATTACGAGACAGTTAGCTGACATCAAGTCAGTTAGCATTTTAGCTGCTAACGTTAGCTATATGGCTGACAGTAAGACGGCAGCCAAGTAAACCAACTTAGCTAAGTTAGCATGAAAGCTAACAGCTGGGCGGACACGGCCTGACTGTTATCAAACCAAGACTCTAAATATATTGACATGTCGTTGGTTACCTGTTGATTATAGACCCAATTAACTGAGGTAGGTCCTTAGTTTCAAAAGCTGTGTACGAAGCCGATAAAAGCGGCCGCACAGCAGCTGTCCATTCGTGTTCAACATCTCCTCCGCTCGACGCCATCTTGAAATCCCTTTGAAAAAACTGGATAGAGCGTTGACACAGTAAATCACAGGGGGCGCAGAAGTACCAATTAAAAATATTATTTACAATTGAGAATATTGCCATAGAGTAGCATGTTAACGATGTAGAAAATGTTTTGCCTGGTCAGATTTGTTATCTTTCTTATTTTGAGCATGAACAATACCAATACATACAATAAAATACAATTCCACATAGTTCTCTGAATTTACTCCCCACAAACTACACCGTTGTGCTTTTTTGGATAAGCCTTTGTTAAAAACACTTTTGTGAATAAGGTAAATAGTTTTAATCTAATATTTGGTATTACATTATGAAAACGTTCCAGGAGAATACACTGATAAGCCAGTAAAATAATTTATAAGTGATTTAGTTCAGACACCGTGAATTAGTTAGTTGTATTTTGGTGCTGTACCAGAGTTGGTGCCACTAATGTTGCATTACTGACTTTTTATTTACCTTTGCTTATTTTTCTTTTGTTCCAAAAACCCATTCCTTTCAGTTAAAGTATAGTGTTGTCATACTCTCATTAACCTTCCTGTGCCCCTCTTCATCTCTTCCCCCTACACCAATACTCTCTACTTCCATTCTATCCTTTAAACTTTTATCCTTTCATCTCCTGGAATAATTGCTGATAGTCTCTTGGTCATTTACTGTATTAGTTATTTACTGAACATGAAATGTGATTAGTGTACACCTACCAAATGAAAGCTCCTTCAAATGTTTATTTCTTTCCACAAATCAAAGATAATGGGTAATTTCTTTCATTGAAACAAGGATATGGGCCAATATTCAAATTTAAGAACCTAAAATTAACATTTATTTATAGAAAATTATATTTGACTATTTGAGCAGTTGATATTTGAGAAATCATTATAGTGTGGTGGATACTGTCTGTACTAGATTGGGACTAAATAGCCTCAGTGATTAAATATGGCCATGGCTGGTTCCCTTAATATAGGAAAACCTCTGCTGGTAAGAGAGTAGACCTGTAATGACGTTCCAAATATTGTACAAAGGAATACAAGCTCCAAACAGTGGTGGACAGACGTCATGAACACACGTGTTTTTAATCCTCCAGATCTAAGAAATGCGATTCCTGCATGCTCTGCATCACTCCAAATTTAGGCAAATAAATAGATATGTCCCTCAAAAATGCAAATAATAATAAATAACTGTTTGATAACATTTACACTTAAGAATGGTCCTCAAGTTCTATTTCATCATTCCTAGTCTACAGTCAAGACAAACATTTGGTATCATTTTTCTTTAAATTATGTATGTATACGTAGGACTATTTCAGTTTTTTTCTATGAATAATAGCTACAGTGTTACAGTTCTGAAGGAAATGCACTATTACTATTTGGAGCTATAAGTCCTTCTTAGCGGAAGAGGGCAGTACTTCTCATTCCCCAGACAAAACCAATGCAGTCAACTTCCGACTTCCTCCTTCTGCCGAAGAGCAAGCTCAGGCTGCTGCTGCTGCAATGGGAAAGCTAATTCTGTTGTCCCTGAAATTTGCAATTTTGTTCTTCACCGTCGAAGCTGTGTTTGAGGATCAAGTGGGAAAATTTGACTGGCAAGTGATATTTGAAAAAACACATTAACATATCTGCTACACGAAGATTTTTTTAAATGGAGAAGCTAAAGCTAATACCTGTCACAGCTGTGACCCGGTCTGCTAGTCTAGTACTAAAGGAAGCCACCAATATTTGAAATAACTTACCAATGACTTTGGTTCTGCGCTTGGTTTGAAGTATTATAATGTTGTATTACTCATCGTCATGTTACATTTTTCAAATAACATTGTTGTGCAATCATGGATCGGGGTGATTATTATTTTATTTTGTTTTATAAATCTGAAAGCGTCTCTTATCATTTACAGGAGGCAACAATATGTAGGAAAAGTTCGTTTTTCTCATTTTGACACACACGTGCAGTCATCCAAAAAGGTACTTTTGGCTACAGAAAACAACGTTTTTGCTGCAGTTAATACCAGGACTGGAGAACTAGGTAAGTCGTTTATAGTGTTCAGCTTTATGTTCTCACATTAACATTGATAACAATGACAATAATGACATATCCTGTTTTTTTTCTTTCTTTTTTTTTACTCTATGGTAAAGGTTGGAGGCATGTAGATAAGACTGGACCAGAAGGAAATATTGATGCTTTTCTACAGTATGGACAAGGTACATTTAGTCTATTTTCATGACCTTTAGGTGTATTTAATACCTCCTTAAGAGCAAACAAATTCATAAAAATGTCTTGTAGATGCTGTGTTGGTGATAGGCAATGGTCGTCTACTACGTTCCTGGGACATAAATGTTGGCGGTCTGAACTGGGAGGTTGTACTGGACTCTGGAAGGTAAGTGCCCCCAAAAACACACACATTCTATGACGAATATAACCTTTAGGTCATTGTACGGACAGTGACATTTGTCCTCTGTTTTAACCCATCCTGACAACTGAATTAATTTGATGCTTGCCCAACACACCACTGCCATTCAGGGCAGGATTCAAATCTGTAATCCCACATAAAACCCTGATCCTTTTATCACAACGCCACCGGTTTTTGTTTTGCATTGGTGTTGAATGCCTCTGTTTTGCATTGTAGTTTCCAATCGGCTTGTTTGGTTGGACAGCAGAACACAGTGAAACAGGTGGCAGTCTTAAAGAAAGCTGCCATTTCTCTCCACTACCTTTCAAATGGACATCAAAAATGGATAGAGAATCTCCCAGATAGGTAATATTAAGTATTTAATGTTTGTTTTTCACTCTATATAGCTATGTATTAAAGCAATGAATTTAACATGTTTAAAAAGATGTTTTCAAAATAGAAAATAAAATAGAAAAGTTCAAACATTAAACTCCTTTAAGTATTCTTTAAGGTTATAATTATACTACTTACAATTAAAACTTTACACCAAGTAAATATTGCCATTACACTTAACTTTTTTTTTTTTCAACAGTGAAACAGTGGACTACCAAACTGTTTATTCTGGTGGAAATGGGGAAGTGTATGTACTAGGGGTTGTTCCTCATTCCCACATCACAGTTGTTGCTTACAGCGTGGAGGATGGTGAGATTATCAAACAGGTAATCCATTATCTTCTACATATATATTATTTCTACCAAACAAAACTAAGCCGTGCTATGAGATAACATGTGTAAAATACCATCTTTCTGAACTACCTTTTTTGCTTTTGAAGTATTTGGTGGAAGCTCCATGGCTTTCAAACCTACAGGTCAGCTGTACAGTGGTCAGTCAAGGGGTTTTGACGTGCATAGACTCAGCAACTGTGTCCCTCTACACACTGGACTTGCATGCACAATCACAGATGACACAGATGCCACTGCAGGTACTTATGAGCACCTGTTACCACTGTATTAATTCAATTATAAGCCTGTGAAATGACCAAGTATCACAATTTTTTCTTTTTTACATTTTCTCATTTATTTTTTTAAAGACACTGGGACTTGAATTAGCCCCTGGATTCCATCCAACACTTGTGTCCAGTCAGCCAAATCCTTCTCATCCACCCCTGTCAGAGTTCTTACTGCAGCTGGGGCCTGATCATTATCTTCTTCTCCAGCTTAACAATGGTCATGTAGTTACACTGAGGGATCTAAAACCGGTATGTAATTTTTTTTTTAACTTGCCCTCTTTATCCTATTTTAGGATTTATTTCTTTAAAGATTAATGCATCTGAATTTTCTTTACTGTCAGGCAATGCTGGTTACCTTTGTGACAACTGGAGATAAAACTGTTGCTGCAGTCATGTCACCCAAGAACAGAACAGTAAGTTGAACACAACATACAGTTACAATATATATTTTACATCTGTGCATCAAATGGTCATAATGTAAGGTTAAATTTAATGAACAACTGTTAGTAACTATTTAAAAATTGATAGCTGTCTATTCCATTTCTGACAGGCTTGCAGTGTTAATCTCTTCAGTGTGGAAACAGGACGCAGGCTTCTCGACACGACATTGATATTTAATATAGATCCCAATGGTGGGAAACCAGAGAAGGTCTGTTTTTATACTTTCTATGACTCTGCGATCAGTCATGTAACCACAAAGCTAAATGCGATTACTGTCATAGCAGATCTGTTTAGTTTAGGTGACTCTCTTTCTACGTCAAGCTTTTTGCGGTTAACTGTAATTTGTTTTTTCCCCCCACATTCTCAGTAGTGTGTATTTTGTCTTACAGCTGTTTGTACAAGCTTTTCTCAAGAAAGACGACTCCGTTGGATATAGAGTCATGGTGCAGACAGAGGACCACACACTTACTTTCCTGCAACAGCCAGGTAAAGAAGGCAAAACAAGCTGTTGTTGAAAACCAATCACCTCTTGTTTGTCTGCTTGCTCTTACACTGAATATGAACGCAATTGGTACAGTTTCTGTTATTATAATAATTATAATAACAATGCTCTCTGTACAAAAATGTTGCTATGTTTAGCTTGATTAATCCTCAAATTGTAAGTTGCTTCTACATAGGTGTTCTCACTGTCTACCAGATGAAATAAGTTTTACAGGGTAGGGAAGATTTGTAACAAATCTTTCCAAAATGAAAATATTATCCACACTCATTCAATCAATAACATGTTTGAACTCTTACTCACTGTGAAGAATACCAACATTTGACCACAGTGGAGAGCACCAACAGCCAATCTGTTTCCATTGTTTTCTCTACACATACAGTACATGACTGACCTTTTCCACAAAAATGAGGTGGAAAACAAATGTCATGTCATAATTTTCAGTAAAAGCCTCTGCAGAAAATACATGGTGTCATGGGGAGTGGAAAGTGGAACGATCACAGAAACTAATGAGTCTTGTTTTCCAGGGCGTGTAATATGGACCAGAGAGGAGGCCCTGTCAGATGTGGTGACAATGGAAATGGTGGATCTGCCGCTCACAGGAACGCAAGCGGAACTGGAGGGGGAGTTTGGCAAAAAGGCTGGTAAATGTCAATCCAAAAAAACTTTTTCTTATTCCAGACATTTTATCCTTAGGCACTACAAACTTTGACTTTAAGCTGACTTCGGTGTGTCCTCAATCATCACATTTGCTTTTTCAAATGATTTTTTTTGGTTGCCATTCACAGAAAGCCAATTAAACTAAATTATTCTTGATGTGGGGGAAATGAATAACGTGTCTCTTCTTAGCTTCACTTTCTTGTCTTTGTCCTATTTTTGATGCTGCATTTGGATTCAGCCATACAAGGTAACACTCATTTGCTCCCATACAGAATAACTTGAACAGAATTATTGATTTTTCCTAAATGATATTGATATTAATTTTGTATACCTTTAATTACTTTGCAAATGAAAGTGCGTCCCGTGTTGGCTGTTTTTTGTTAAGATGGCCTCATGTCCATGGTCCTGAAGAGGCTCTCGTCTCAGTTCGTCTTACTCCAAGCCTGGATCTCGCACCTCTGGAAGCTGTTCTATGATGCCAGGAAACCTCGCAGTCAGGTCAAAAACGAAGTGACTATCGAGAACCTCTCAAGAGATGAGTTCAACCTGCAGAAGATGATGGTCATGGTTACTGCATCTGGGAAGGTATGAAACCAAAGTCACATAGTCATTTTAAGTTTAGTGAATGCCAGAAATGCAGTGTACTGTACACCATACTCCATCAATGGATGTTTTCAAATGCACCATATTTAAGCCCTGCAGTGTGTTTCTTTTAATATGATGTAGTCTATAGATTCAGTTTTAATCATCACATATCTTTTTTTTTTTAAAGCTTTTTGGAATTGACAGTAACACCGGCAGCATTTTATGGAGACACAATCTGGATAATATTCCAGCTAATGCAGCCTTCAAGCTAATGGTGCAACGAACAACTGCACACTTTCCTCATCCTCCACAGTGCACACTGCTCATTAAAGACAAGGTATTTAATGTCTTATTTAAAGTCCAAAAATGAATATTATTATTTAATTGTTATTATTAGCACTTGAATAAAAAAACATCCTTAATTGTTAATTTATTTTCTAGGATACTGGCCTGGCCACCCTCCACGTATTTAACCCTATCTTTGGCAAGAAGAGTCACATCACGCCTCCAGCTCTCACTCAGCCAATACTTCAGTCTCTCATCCTGCCACTCATGGACCAGGATTATGCAAAGGTTTTGCTACTCGTTGATGACCAATACAAGGTAAGTCCTAGAAGTGATGAAGATCATAGCCATCCATTACTTGAAGGATGTTCCACCATCTGTTTTTTAAATCCTTTCAGTTTGTCTTAAACTAACAACTAACTTTTTCCCAGGTTTCTGCATTTCCATCAACAAAGAATGTCCTTCAGCAGCTCCAGGAGATGGCCTCGTCCATATTCTTCTTTCTCATTGACTCCAGCCAGGGCAGACTTTCTGGCTACAGGCTACGAACGGCAAGTTGAAATGGGTTTTTTTTCTGTGTTTTATTTGACTTCACATTGGGAGTCAAAATGTAAATCCCACACAAGTGATCTGAAAACTTATGAATCCAAATATTCTTGTTGTTAGGACTTGTCCACTGAGCTGATCTGGGAGGTTATCGTCCCACCGGAGGTACAGAGGATTGTTAGTGTCAAAGGGAAACGGCCGAATGAGCATGTGCATTCCCAAGGCAGAGTGATGGGAGACCGTAGTGTCCTTTATAAGGTACAGAGACTTTACCTTAAAGTTGTTTTTACAGGCGCCTGCTTTGCTTTGTTCCAAAAGAGAATGACACTGATGGAACATTCTTTGGAAAGACAGAGCACCATTCATCACATGATTGTTTACCCAGTGAATCATGTTCACTCTATCCAACTGACTCTGAAACAACACAGCTTACAGAAATTAATCACTGGGCTCATACACTTGCTAAGAAGTTTATGTTTTATATCCTACGCCTTTGTTAAGATAAAGATTGACTCTCTTCCAGTACTTAAACCCTAATCTACTGGCTGTGGTTACTGAGAGCACAGACACACACCAGGAGCGCAGCTTCATTGCAATCCTCTTGATTGATGGCGTGACTGGTCGCATCTTCCACGAGGCTGTCCAGAGAAAAGCCAGAGGACCGGTGCATGTTGTCCACTCTGAAAACTGGGTGGTGGTAAGTATCGAATGTAGTCGAAATATGTCAGGAAGCCTTGCATTAGTTTTTGCTTGGTTGCAGACAGAATGCAAGTTGTTTAATGGTACATTTTAAGGACAATAGCTGTCAAAGGACCAGACCACTGAACCTAACTTTTATCTTTGTGTGAACCCACAGTATGAATACTGGAGCACAAAGTCACGTAGGAATGAGTTCTCTGTAATTGAACTGTACGAGGGGATGGAACTCTACAACAGCACCGTGTTCAGCTCCCTCGATCGACCTCATGCTCCTCAGGTTCTGCAGCAGTCTTACATTTTCCCATCATCCATTTCCACGATGGAGGCCACTCTGACTGAGAAGGGCATCACCAGTCGTCATCTGCTCAGTATGTTGCAAGAACATGTCCTGGTGTTTTTTTCTCTGACTGGAATATTTGAGAGAAGAAAATAGACTGTATATCTTGAAAAGACCTTTGTGATGAATGGTTTCTTAATCTTAATTGACTTTGAAAACAGCAATGAGCTTTTCTTTTTCAGTTGGCTTGTCCTCAGGAGGGATTTTGTCATTACCCAAGATGTTTCTTGATCCCCGGAGACCAGAAATAGTGTCTGAGCAAATCCGGTGAGTACGACATGTAAACTTAATTCCATTTTTTTTTTTTTTTTAATAAAAAAATACTGAGTTTAATCTTCTGATTCAACTTCCAGTGAAGAGAACCTGATACCATATGCACCAGAATTACTGATCCGTACAGAATGGTTCATCAACTACAATCAGACTGTATCAAGAGTGAGAGGAATTTACACTGCTCCCTCTGGGCTGGAGTCAACCTGCCTCGTGAGTGCGACAACACTCTGACATGTTTTAGATTTGACATTAAATTATAGAAATGTTGTTACCGAAAAAAGGCTTGGAAAGCTTGTTATATTATTCGGTTTGGCAACATTCAGCATTTTAGAATTGTCTGCTACATTTTAGTGGTTAGTAAAACCATTTGAAAAATGTTTTCATATAATTTAATTGTTGATTGTTGTCGTAGCTACTTATACTGTTAAACAAACCCTGATAAAGATGTTTTTAATATTTTTCTTTAAACATTTTTCTGTATAGGTTGTGGCTTACGGTCTGGACATCTATCAGACACGAGTTTATCCCTCAAAGCAGTTTGACGTTCTGAAAGACGATTATGACTACATGCTGATCAGCAGCGTACTCTTCGCTCTATTCTTTGCCACGATGATCAGCAAACGCCTGGCGGAGGTCAAACTGCTCAACCGGGCGTGGCGGTAAAGGAGAGCTAGAAAAAAGAACAACCCATCTCTGACAGCACTGAGGCTGCACGGAGGACCTCAGCTCAAGCAGATGAGATAGCTGGGGCCGTGTCTATGTCAGAGCAGCGGTCAGAGTTCAAAGAGGCCCAAAAGCAACTGCAAAGGATAAGAGAACTGTGGGTTGGGGCAATGAGAGGGGGGGGTTAGTAAACATTTTATGAATTTGTTTTTAACTTATTTGCAACCTTGAGGAACTACTTTGACAATAGAATTGTTTTCGTGCCATGGCATTTGAATTCAATGTTTATTAGAAAATAATGACTAATGCATCAGAATTTAATTTATTTCATCATGTAGTAGGGATGTTCAAACATGGGTCTCCGCTGTCCAAAACCAAGTCAGGACAGAAGGTCCTTTTAGATACATTTATAACTATCAGCAGGCTGATCAATCTGCAGTCTTGTCTCAGCAAAAAGGGCTTGTTTAGAGCATGATGTCACCAGAACAGACTGCTGTTTTTGTCCTGACTTGGTTCTGTTAGTTTTTTGTCTTTTTACATTGGACATGGTTTAGTACAGATGAAGCACACTTGTCTTCACGCCTGTTTTCTCATGTAAACATAAGCAATGTACAGTTTTCTTTTGTTGTTTGTTTTCTAACAGGATTGTTTTGCTACATGAAGATGGAAAATCATGAAATAGAACAAAGTGAAACATGATTAGGTTCAACATTGTGTCTGCATGGTTTGTATGTTAAAATAATAAACGGTAATCTGAAGTTTGTGAAGAAATGCAGAATTGATGAATAAACTGGCCATGTCCAGTATAAAAGTGAGATAGGAAGATGATTATTGAAAGCCTTTATTTTAGGATTTATTTTTCAGTCCCTGTGCTGCACATGATTTTTTAATCGCAAATCCACTGTTGTTAAACCATTAAAATTTGTTTCAGAAATACAATTGGACCATTCCTCTTTTCTATGATATTAAATTAGGGCTAGTAAAATTAACAAGTTAATCATGTTAATTAGTGATGATTAATCAGATTCATTTTGTAACAAGGGCAGAATAACGTACTGTGTATCCAATAATTCCACTGTCCATTTAGCTGTTGTTGCTCTAATACGTAGTCAATATTTGCACACGCGACAGGAATTTAAAATATCAAAGCTTCAATTTGTTCAACAGAATTTGTTTTGTCATTTAGTATCGACAATTTACACTGATTATTCATTTAATTGATTGACAATTATATTTATTATTGCTGAAGAGCATGTGTTTTCTTAAACCCAGTCATAATTTGAAAACTATAATTAAACCATGATAAACGACTGTAGTGTTTCCACTGGTGTAGTCAAATCTATTTATTAAACTGATTTAGTAGTGGTCACAAAAAGACAGCCAACATTTTTGGGTCTATTCCAATGTTGGTTCGTTAATAATATGCAATAATCAGGAAGTCAGGAATATTATCTATGTGCCAAGGCCAAAGTGTGTTAAATTCCTTATCTGGGAACTCCTGTGTCTTTCAACGTGATTCCACTGTCCACCACAGCTGGTCAGTCTACTTGCAGGAATCTTCACAGTCTCGTCTGTGGATCTGGCTCACCATCAATTTGGAGACTTAAATTGGTTGAACCAGGGTCCAACAAGAAGCCAACCTGTGCAAAATGTGCAGAAAAAAAAATCAAATTAATAATGTCCAGCAAAATTAAATCATTATGAATGCTCTTTCATTAGATTCAACTGCTGCATTAAAGTCTTACACTTTACTTTAACAGAGATAATTCCTTATTTTGAATGGTATTTATATATAAACTTTATCACATTTTTGACTCATCATGAAATAATCACTTTTTATATACATAATACTCTGACATATTTTAACCATATGATCGGTAACATAATCGTTTGGCATAAAATAATTAAATCATTAACACAACGGTTCTCAAACGATTTTTGTCATTTTCAAGCCCCAACAGAAATCATGTCAGATTACAATTTATTAAACTTACACGTAACGTCAATAACATTAAAATTACAAGTTTGAAAAGAGAAAAACATATGCGTAGTTGTGCCATCTTCACTTGAACCATACCATTTTTCTTCGTTGTTTTTTTTTTTTGTTATTACAAATTAACATTGAATTATTTTATAGCATCAAAATAATTTAATAGCCGACGGCCATGTTTCAAGAACTCACCGGAGTTTCAACAGTAAAATAGTTTTCCGCCTTTAGTTGTTGCACTCAACTCCACCACATTCTGTTTTAACACTTTTCTCTGTATCGTCTGTCACTGATCACACGTGTGACGCTGATTGACGCTTACGTCTCTACGGGAGCCTACGAAGTTCAAAATGGAACTCGCGGGGACTATACAGCTGTAATTAAAATAATGTGTTTAGTTATTTTGTGTAAGAAAAGACTGTACATACAGTTGATGCAAATGTAGGACATTGGAGGTGTTTTTTCAAAATTGTATTGACTTGTTAAAATAACTTCAAATGCCACATTTTTAAAAGGAATAAGTTATTTTATTTTATGTCAATAGATCAAAACATATTAACAATCATTTTCATTTTATACAATTATTAAATTACAAACAGCCTTTCATCTGCTCAAATTCATCCCAAAAACCTTCACAAGAACTTCAGACCCACCTGTGTAGCAGTGAGGGTCTGAACCAATGTAACGTGATTTTCCACACAAACACTGTCTCGTCTTTGCCTGTTTGACCTTAAATGCAGTTTGAGCTAGTCACACATAATATGAACCAGTTTCAGATTAGTGTCTTGGACAAAGATGATATTTTCATATACACACGCCTTTTACACACATCCTTTAACAGCATTTAAAAACACTGATGACCTGAGCAGCAGCAGGTTTCAGTCACAAGGTTACATTTGAATCACATGAGTATTTATAAATAAATTAAATACTAAGCACATGAGAACAGAATGTACAGTAAATAAACAAGGAAATGATAATGTGAGATATTTCACAGACACATCGTGTTACACTGAATCCCTAAAGTAAAAACAACTGATTGTGAAATATGTGCAATTACATCAAGGAGGGGGAAGGGAATAAACGTTGACACTAATTAGAATCTACTGAAAATTTATAAATAAAAGTAAATCTAGTGATAAATACTGTTGTCCATAACTATTATTTTCAATATTGGTCATGTTTACTCAAAATGGTATCATTAAATCATTAGTGTGTTGTAGGTGAAGTTCTGCAGAACATTTAAAGGATCAGAATTAACATGTTTCAGAGGGAAAGCAGCAACAGTTATTCAGAATACATGCACAAGCCCAGCTTGTGGACACAGTAATCACATAAATATGTGTATGAATGGTGATGGTGATAGTGATAGTGATGAGTTTGATAATGACATGAGGCTGATCCTTCTACTTCTACTGAATATAAGACTTTAGCTGCTCAACAGTATGTGTTTACAATTGTCTAATCCTCTTTTTACTAAAAAAAAAAAATATTGGTATCTCCCAGATAGTAACTTGCCTCAACATTTTAGAGAATATTGTAAGCATAACTAGCTTAAAATAATTATCTTATATAAAACAAATAAGAATTTTAAGTGCATCACCCTTGCTGAAAATCATTTTGAAACTTCAAAAAAGTGAGAAATAAAAACACTGACTCTTACAAACTAATTTGTTCAGTCATCATGGATTATTGACAAAGAGTTTCAGCCCCAATAACCAATGATTGATTAGACATTTTTCCTGTGAGATCACTGCAGCAGAATGGTTACAGGAGGTAAACATTATCCTCTGTTAGTGACAACACTGGAATGTTAGGATGTTTCCTGGGTGTGAACCAGAGGAACCAATACTGACAGGTAAAGAGTTCAAGACAAAAATCCCAGTTTCTTTTATCGGTTCTGCCAAATGCTAGGGCTTCCCATCCCAGCAGGTTCACTCAGAAGTCTCTCTCTCCGGTCAGTATGTGGGGGTCGGCCCGGTGGCAACAGGATGTAGTGCGTGGCACTGGCCTGTCTGCCATCCTTCAGAATGGGAACAATGCAGGGAGAAAAGTGAGCTGCAGGGGGCGTCCTCTCACTGTGCTGTCTCTGCAAGGCTTTACTCACATATTTAGGGTTAGCAGCAAAACTCTGAGTGGCCGGCATCACACCGTTGATATAAATAGGGAGGCTTTTGGGGCTGGGGGTACGTGGTGGGCAGGGTGGGACTAAAGGGACCCTGGGAGGAATTTTTGGAGGCTTGTCTTCATCATTGCTGCTCATTGTCTTTAGAAAAGAAGGAGGTTTTGGTGGAATGGGGATTCGAGGAGGGATTTCTGGCTTCTCAGCGGTGGGGTTGTGATGTGGTGGAAAAGCGAAGCCAGAGAAAGAAAAACGAAGTCTGGATGACAAAGCATGGTCAGCCTGTTTGTCACACAAAGACTCTCCAGCTGCTGATGTCACGGGCTGCTGGTCACCTCTGTAGAGAGGAGAGAAGCCACCTGCTGATCCGCTGACCATAGTTCTGTCCTCTCTCCCTGGCCAGGAGAAAGCCATGGCAGGACCTGGCTCCCCAAACCTCTCCTGGTAGGCATGATTCACCTGCCCATAGTCTCTGTTATTGCCCTGAGATGATGCCTTGGGGCAGCTTTTGGGCAAAAGACGTTTTCGGTCACTGGTAAAAAATTCCACTTCATTATCAGCTGCTTCATCTGACATGAGCTCCTCAGGATCAGGGAGAGGTGGTAGAGGTTTGGGCTCTCTCTGCTGGAAGGCTCCCAACACTATCCGTCTCTGGGAGGAAGGGACCACCTGGTCTCCCTCATGTGGCCGTAGTACTTTATCAGACATCAGGCGATAGGTATCAGGGTAGAAAGGAGATTGAGCGAGGGAAATACTTGCTGAAACAAAAGAAAGAGTCAGATATTAGAAAAAGAAATGAGCTCATGGCATTCTCAACACAACTGCAAACCAAGGAACTGCTGGTTTGTGATACAAGGTTTTGCTATCAGTGTTGTTTCCTCTGAGAGGAAGAAACATGGAAAACAACTCCTCACTACAGAGCAGTGATGGTGTGGGAGGACGAAAACACCAGGGGGAGCGGACTGGCCACTTGTTTTCATAGAGGTATCTTACAGGAAACAAAAGTGAAAAAAAAGCCAGAGAACAACCGGTTAACCTATCACCCTGTTCGTCACCCGTCAGCCACAACACCCTGATTAACACAGGAAATGTCATTATCTGCAATGCAGACCATAATCTTGACATGGCTTCCCATAACCTTCTCAGCGGAAACAACCAATGTGCCCCAGACTGAAGGAACAGCTGGTGACCAGGGAGCGATAGTTTCTCCTCCTCCGCTACACTGTCCAGGACAGGGATGACAAACCAGCCTGTACTTTGGCTACATGTTGTCAGATAGAACAAACAGAGATTTCTATCACAGTGTTGTATTTAAGATTGACCTTATCTGTTTCTGTTAAACTCACTACACACACACACACACACACACACATATATATATATATATATATATATATATAGTAAACCCTTGTTTTTTTAAGTCCGCATGCCAATGGAAGTTAATACTAAACCACCAGCTGCAGTATTAGATTTTAGACTGACAACATGTTCTGGCTGGAAAAACTCTCGTTCATAACCTGCCACCTAAGATGATTTTGTTCAGACTAATGACTAATGTTAAAATACATGAATATATAACGGAGATAATGGTGATCTATTTCGCTATTGATTGATTTAATGTGTTTTTGAATTTATTTCAGAGTTAGTTATCATATTAGTAAATTAATATGAAAACAATTGTTAACCTGATGGTAAGAAAGTACATCACTAGGACTGTATGTTACTGTGTGTAGAGCTCTTCTTTAAGCCTCATTCAAGGATATCCCACTACTACAGTAGAGCTTATACTGGGGTTAAAAAAAAAAATCATCAGAACAACATAAATAACAAAATCACAAATACATAACGACATATATAACAACCTTTTTTTTTTACTTACAGTTAAACTCTGGGGCCGTCTGCTGTTGTTGAAGCTCCGTCACGTTGTGTTCCATGTCAGCACTCAGGCCAAAGCACAGTCTACAAAACAGCAGAGGTTTAGAACTCCGTACATGTCAATGAATGTAAATCATCCCTGCACATGAGTAAGTCATTATATGTAAAACAACAAGCTGGACATGTTCTTTCACCATATGGAACACATCCTCACCTCCTGCACGTTGGCTGATTATTTACCTAATGTCATTTTGTTTGAAAAATATTTGTACCCCCTTTTGGCTACTGTTTTTGAGTAACGTTTATGTTTTTTGTCAATCAATCAGTTCTATCTTCTCAGAGCAACCTATTTGTCTTTTTATCATCCAACCAGAGAGGGCGCTGTTCAATTTGCGAACAGCGAAGTAGAAATTATGATTTTTATTTCTTTTTGGTGAATTGTGAGCACAGACATGTGCAAATGATTAGAGGAGAACCTCTGCGATTAATACGATGTGTAGCACGTGAAAAGCCAAAGCCTTTGAGTTGTGATTTTTATTAGTTATTTTTTTGAACATGTGTCAGATATATAGCAAGAGGTGATGAATAAAAAACACTAGACTACAAATATGACTTTTATAGCTTAGTATTATGGTGAAAATAAATAAATATTTAGCTCAAACAATAGTTTAAATATGTGTAATTTACTGGAGTATGTTGTCAAATTTTATAACTATCTTTTAAAAGTGTTTACTGTTTCAAGGTTATTAGCGCTTCTCAAATAATGTTTTGCTATCTTTTCTATCTACTTTTTTTTATAATTTCTTTTTGCTAATTTGTGTTTTTAAGGTTAGGGTTCATTTATGAGGTATTTTGTAACTATTTTGAGCCTAGTACTACTACTGTTCAGCTAGTCTTAGGTAATGTTTAAATTATATATTTTGATGTTTTTAACAGAAAATTGGCTTTTTTAGACTAAATTTAACTATTTATATATAAATATATACATTTGTGTCTTGTGAAAAAAATATGCTTTCCTCCAATTAGCTGGTGCTTATTGATAACTTACATATAGTTTAACAGTAAGTGTATCTGCTGCCTTTCCACACACCCCTGAAAAATGATCTCCTTTTAAAAGGGAGAATCTTGCTCTCGATAGTATTAAGTAAAGAGTATTTCAACAGTGAAGCACTACACAATAATGTTCACTCCTCGTTGATGATGATGCATGACGGTCATCTTTACCTGTTAAGGTCATGCTGCTCCCAGTACTTCCTCCTAGCCATGCCGTGACAGTAGGGCAGGTGTGTTTGTAAAAATCACCAGGTCTGTTTGGTAGGTCTATTTTTACTTTCAGCTTCCTCAAAGCCATTATGACTTCATTCTAGCCAGTGAGCTGTTGGAGAAACACAGAAGATTCCATTTATCCAGCTGACAGAGGAAACAGTTACACTTTGTTGGTGCAGGTGTGAGAAAAGTGGTTTTTAAATGCCGAAAAATGCGTATCCTAAATGTTTGCATTGCAGCAATCGCATCCACTGAGGTCACACCTTCATCAGTTGTGTGAAATGCTCATAAAGCACACACATCTGGAACGTCACGCAATCCAGCTCACACAGCTGCATGTGTTCAGCCTACCAGGCAGTTCAGAGATCACATACTTTAAGGCTCCAGGCACAACACAGATATACATTTCTGAGCTTTATTCCTCTTCTTTATCAACACCACACTGCCTTGACTGCATGTGTTTTGTACATGGATTTATGTCCTGATGTCACAGAGGTTGACATGTAGTGAGACTACGCTGAGTAAATGAGCACTGTGTGCAAGAAGGAGGCAAGCAATGTTTTTTTTTTCATGTTCGTCATCAAGACTCCGTGCTCCAGAACATAACGTACATTCCTGAAACGCAGCATTGTTTAGAGCTGAGCCTGCAGGAAACAACAGGCACAACAAAAGGCCAGTAAATTACTTCAGCCTGCTTTGGCAGCTGCCATGTGTATGTCTTTGTGGTTCCAGCTTTAAGCTGTCTCTCTGATGAGCAGGCCATTGCACAACCTCTAGGTCAGATGTGGGAGGGCAGCAACTCTCCTACCCTCCTTCCTCTCTGTGGCCATGAAGCCCTGCAGTATCCACCCTGACAACAGGGGCTAATTGTGCAGCATTTTTCTCATGATGATGACAAGGCTCACCACCGGAAAAAAACCATAGCAGAAAATTCACAGACACAAATAACAGAGATCTTGGAGTTCGATAAGTTGGAGGATGAATATGCCTAGAATGTTCTGTAAACATAGATCATATAGATTCCTCCTTTCTTCAGTTTGAATCATTAAGAATGCGTAGCTCCAAAAACAACTGCGCCATTAAGATTTTTTAAATATAAATATGAAGATTTTACACCTACACTTACATAACAAACAAAAACCTTGCATCTTATCTTTTTTGGTTCTGACTGTAGCTCTGCATCATTTCAGTTTGAATGCTGCCACTTGAATTCTGTTGTCATTTCCACTGGTAAACTTCTCCATCCAGTCGCCTTCCCATTATTTGCAAAAGAAAGGGAGAGAAAGTACAACCACAGAGCAGTGTCCCAGCAAATGATACACCACTATACATTTTTAATGGATTATTGGTGTCCGTTTCTACTGGTGCTAAAAATGTAATCCTATTAAAATACCATTTTAATTCAGCCTAGTTCTGAGCATTTGACCTAAAACACTACACAGAGAAACACTTACTATCACTCCACAATGCTACTCTTCAAAGTCCCCCATTGTTGGAGTTTGTGTTTGGTTTACAGTCCACGTGGGACGCAAACAATGCCGAGCATGCATAATACCACAACAAAAACACAAGCAAACTGACACAGTGGCCCGTTTATCTGCTGGAATATTCATGACATCCTTAAAACAACGGCCTGTGGCGTCATTTCCGTCAGTGAACCCCGGAGATGGAAGACGCTGAACAATTATGAATTCTACCAGCAATTACTCAGTGTTCATGAATGGAGCCACTCTGGGGCCATGAATGGGCCTTTGTGTCATTTTGCTCTGCAGTGAAACTAGCCTGAAAATCCAAGGGAACTCTCCCATGAGGCTAAAATTGAAGATACGCCATGGAGACAAGCAGGCATAGCCAAGGTATGAGCTGTGACACAAATCCCCTGCTGGAAGCAAAACCAAGAGTCTGGAAAAAGCTGTTTGTTTATCTCAGGCAAGAGTCTTGGTGTGTTGTTCTTGGCCGTCCTGAAACCTCACAGGCCTTTCACTGAATAAACCTTTACAAATGAATAAGGCATTACACTTTGCGTCACATACTTGCTGTTAACAACTTGTTTTAAACGCTGCCTGCCAAGATACACATGCTCAGACTTTTGATTCAGTGGTTAATATTATTGTTCCCCAATGAATAGTACCCATAAATAATACACAAAAATAAATTCAACAGAAAATTCTGGACTCCTCAAACAGGGAATGAATTATAAATAAATAAGAGTTGCAATATACGTATATATACATTATATATGACAAAAGTCATATAAATTCATATTAAAAAATGAAATCATGTATGGTCCACAATTTTATAACGATAAAGATGCAAACGATGACTGTGCAGAAAGACAAAGCACTGAGTTTACAAATGACCAAGGAAATTGTCTAAAAACAATCTAGTTTCTAAATTGTACAAATTAAATTGTGACTATATTTCCAAATACTTGAAACCTAAATAGAAAGTCTTCATTTTGAGAATGGCTTCATTTTCATTTACTCTTTAAAGCCACTCAGATGAGGACAATTTACAGTAATTGTAGGTTGTGTAGAAACAACTTTAACATTAAGACACTCTGTTTGTGTGTTTCATAACGTTAGACAGTGTAAAATTAGGTTTTGTGTGAAACATTGTTTCAAAATATTGTTCAAAATTATATTTTTGCAGATATGGACCACCTATAACTGATGGCTCTGTATTTTGGACCACTTTTTTGTAAAATAGTAAATTAAAAAGTAAAATTTAGGTTAACTCAACATTCCTTGGAGTGATTATTTATGGAAGATGGCAATCTTTGTATTAGATCAAAAATAATATTTATGTTTAAATTAAAGTTAAATTGATCAATGATTGTTCCATACAACCGAAAAAATGATGACTAAAATACATACATACCAATCCCAGGACGCATTATATTTTTTTCATGAATAGCCAAAAATGTAATGTCATATGTTGTAAATATGCTTAAGAAAAGCAAAAATTAAACAAGTTCAGTTTTTAAAAGAAACGCTTATCATAATAAAAAATACGTTTATATAAAACGTATAGGTTTTAAAATATATATATTTATAAAATTTAAAATTGGGTTTAATTAAACCTCTTTAAAGGCGGAAAAGTTACTTTCTCTCTACCGCCCACTAGCGGTTAGGCGGGGAATAGATCAAGCGCTCCCACACACACCGCGCCTCTTAGGCACTTCAGAGCCGAAATAAGCGAGTGTTTCAGCGGCTCACAGGAGCAGCATTTACCGCAGAACTGAAACAAATGTAACGGCGACTAATGACCAGCTACAAAATGTCAAACTAAAGGGACACGCCATTAAAAACCAAAATACCGATTTTATGACCGACTTCATACTCCTGGTTCTATAATATGAGGAAAATATATCGGCATTGTTTTTTATGTAAAGCTTCAGTTAACTTCAGTGACTTTATATAAAACATTTCCTTAAAATCCAGGTTTTTATAAATAAAATAAACGTTTCTAGGTGAAGAGAAGTTAAGTCTTACCGTGAAGATGCTCGATCCCTCACTCCTCCATCACGCTGATCAGCTGAGCGGCTGTAATGTTAACGAGAAACTTCGGATTAAATTAGAGTAGAATCCAGATTGTACGGTTTTTATAGTCCGTGGTAAAACATGTGCAACATCTCCCACATCAGTGTCTGTCAACAGGAGCAGCAGGAGGACACAGGAGGAGGTACAGTAGAAGTCTTCATCCTGTCAGTGAACCACAGTCCGCTTTATAAACCAGAGGCGACGGCCTGAGTCGAGGTTACTCCACCCAAGAGACGCTCTTAAAGGGAAACCATCCAAATAACACGACAGAGACAGAGAAGCGTCTACTTCGTCCAACACGCGAACGTTTGGCTATTTTCCTGTTATTTGACCAACTTTTAGTTTAATTTAGTCATTTGATATTGCTGTTTATTTTTGAATGACTTATTAATATATAATAATCATTTTTCACCAGTAATTTATCTGCTACTCTACTATTACAGTAAACAACATTTTACTCTCAGTAGGTCCCCCTTCCTCTGGAGTCCATTATTCTCCAAACCCTGGGATCAAATTGTATTCGCCACTGGAGCTCTACTGAACATTTTTCTCTGTAACAGATCTCCCCTTCATTTAAATTTAAAAAGATATTTTACATATTTACAAAGTGTTTTATCCCCCAACCCATTAATTAAGTATAACAAATATTCAAAAACAAATATGTCTGTTACTTTTTTTCTTAGAAAAATTGCGTTAATATTTGACCGATCGAATATTTGAAATCTAAATCCACATTATAGGTCATAGCATTTCCTGTACATGCAAAGTAACAGAAATAGACTAAGTTTCAATTTGAACAATTTTTTGAGTGAATTCAGTTGTAATGAGCTGATGCACTGTATACTGCCCTTTATTAAATGGCTTTTCTTTGACCTGTGTGTGAGTCAGAGAGTGAGTGGGAGACATGTACGTGACTCAGGCTGGTAGAGAGGAACCAGTGGAAGACTGGTCGTCCTAACAGAGTGAGGAGTAATGCTGAGCCCTGGATGTCACACCACAGTTCTCTCTCTTTCTCTCTGTGTGTTTGTCTCCTCCCACGCTTGAAGTCAGAAGGACAATCAGGACGACATTTTGAACAAATAAGGTAAAAGTGACTGTGGGTCTGATCTTGTTCAGGCCACAGCACTAACATCACACAGAGCTTACATTCTTCCACCAGACTGAACATTAAAAAAACTGAGAAAATACATAGTATTACTTACAGTAAAGTTTACCCTGTGATCTCCTGCCCTTGTTTTCCGATTGTTCTGTTGGGCAACTGCTGTGGTGAGAATCCACCCAGGGTCATTTAGCTGTGGACTAAGGAGTGTCCTGAATCAATCGAGTCCCTTTGAATAAATACGTGACTTTCAGTGAGTTCCTGCTGCTGCAATCATCCTCACCGTCATCCTCACCGTCTCACTCACTAACTGACTTGTTTGTTTAAAGGTATACTCATCCTTTGAATCAAATGGACCGTTGGATCAATGTCCTGTTGTGCAACAAAGCAATTGATGACACATACATGACATAAGCTTTTCCTTCCTTTCTTTAGTGACAGAGGATCAACGTGAGTGAACCTACTGACACGTTCAGATTCTGTATATACTCCCTTCAAAGAGATGTTGAACACTCGAACATGGACAGATGATTTGTTAAACTAATGAGTCAGTATTAAAAATGTAATAAAATAACACAGTATTACAACATGGCTGTATTATGAGCCTTTGAAAAATATTTTTTGATGTGAGCTACAAATGTTAGCTTAAGGAAAAAGCTATTTTACCAAACTTAATGGGGAATGGCATTTAGGCTGCAAAATTAAAATGGCTGCAACAGCAAATAGCATAAGACACCTAATCTACTGTAGCTCTGGGTGATCTGGACATGAAGTTTGATGTTCCAATTTCAACATAGAACCGAGGTATAATAGGATTTATCCAACAAATATGGCGATATATAGCACCATACAGTCACAATTGTCAAAGGTCGTCAATAGACAAATCCTTTAATAACCTTGTCTATTTCTGACTTGATTGTCGAGAGAAGCTACTGCTAATTTAAAAATATATTTCATCCTTTTACAGTATTTTCGTTTGGACATTCAACTCAAAAATCCAGATCTTTTGCCCAGCCACAGACCCAAACATTTCCTGCTCTTTACCTCTCCGTAGTGGGTCAGTGGTCTTTGGAGGGTGCTGCTGGTGACCCAGGATGCACAGGGCTGTGGGGGTTGTTGTCGGGGTGGGCCAGTCTCCCACAGGGAAGGTCAAGTCATTTCCTGCTCTGAGAGACCTCTGTCCCTCACAGATGTCAGTGCAGTCAGAAGCCCACCTCCCACATCTGCAGGCCTCCTACGCCTCACCCCGTGGCTCGAGCTTCTTTCAAACATGTGATAGATTGCTCTGATGGAACTCCCTCCTGTGACCACAAATCAAAGCCGAGGTTAAACCAGGGACCCCCTTTCATGATTTTTTTTGTTTTTATGAACACAACTTAAATTCATTCTTGAAACATCAAGTTTAAACCAAAAAGCAATGATCTTCAGGTGAAAAAGGTGCCAAACTATTTTACATCTGCCTACAAATAAATCAGAAGATAGATGTTTGCCCACCAGCCATTTAACAGCATCTCCAGCTGGAATCTAAAATAAATTAAGTAGGTGTTAACATATGTGTTCTATGGTAAATACATCTGTGTAGGTTGATGTGCTGACATGGTGACACGGGGAATTCACTTATAGAAGAACCAGCTGTGTACAAACATGTAATAGTAATTAGAGCAGTGTTACGGAGCAGACAGACAAACTCATGAGTGCTTTTAAAGTCACCATCCAATGTCCATGTTTGAGATTCACAATCCGGTAAACACAAAACTGTCATCCATGGGATGAAATGGAAAAAAATAATTCAGACATTTCAGACGTACAGTTTAAAATGTACAATTCAGGAAAAGGCTATTGTCTTCTGCTGGTATCAGTTGTGATCTACTGAGAGGTGCTGCCATTGAAATATGGACTAAAGTTGCAGTGAAAAATCCTTTGGGGAATTACTGTAAAATTCTTGGGTCCAACTGTTTCTTTGCCTCCCTGTTACCACCCACCACTTCCTCTGTGCTGACATGGAGCAGTCATGTTTGACATATTCATTTTAAAGTCAAAAGCCAAACAGAGGATGTGTTTTAGTAACAGGGGGAAGCAGGTTCATAAATGTTATGTTCTGTTAAGTTTTGTACCATTCACACAGACCATGTCGCCGCTGCTGTCTGCAGATTTATGTGTGATGTATAAAACACAGACGTTGTTTAATCTCTTTAATTTAGTGGTTTTGCGGTTTTGGGCTGACGAGTCGGAGGCGTCAGGAAGGAATCGGTCTCCTCAAATGTCTGAGTGGGCCCTGCACCACAGCCTTTGACCTCATCCTGTGAGAAGACAGCTCAGTTATCCCCATAGAACCCAAATCCACCAGGAAGAAGAGCTGAAGAATGATGTTGGTGCAGGATTTGATTGTTGGATGGATCAGAGGCCCAGAGAAACACACCGTTTCCAAACTGTTGTATAACACTATACGTACTTCTTTGAAGATGATGAACAAACACAACTGGACAGTCCTGAAAAAAAAGTCCTGATCTGACTATTATACAAGACAGCAAAGTTAAGCTGTTTCATGTATTTCCCACGGTGAAAGAAAAGATTAAATCAAGGCAGCAGGAAGAAAGTGACAAGAACAAATGCAAAGATCTGTGTGATTTAACGTCTGTGACATTGGATTTCATGGTGACAGCTTCAGCAAATGGCAGGCATAAAAAGAACATTCTTTACCCAGGATGAGCCTGGGTAATTTCCTGAGCTGAAGTTTAAGGCCTCAGTGAGGAGCCGTCCCAGCAGGACACCATTTATATTGTTGTTTGGTTTAAGTTCATCAAGATTTTCAGTTGAAATGAAGTTAGGTGAACTGAATAAGGACATTGGACTTGATGTTTCCTGCCCACGTCGTCAGTGTTGTTGACAATGACACGTTTGCTCATCATGACCTGGTCATACTGAGTAACAGTTTTCCTTTAGAATGGTTATACAAAAAGCACAATGTCAATATTAACTTTTTTCACAACCCCTTTCAGGGGTCAAAGTCGATCTGAATAGATTCACAGTATATGGACTGATTTCTCCGCAGCTCAGCAGGTCCAGGAAAATAACTTTGTTGTTTGGTTACTGGCTGTTCAGCTTTTGAGTCAATTTGTGACAAAGACTAAACAAATTCTAAAACAAACATTTCATCCTGGACTTGTGACTTATCTCACTAAATCAAACACTATTTCTATTGGACAAACGACTCAACACAGAGGTGACTACAGTGCTCTGTTTAGTGCTTGACTATTTCAGGTCACATAATGAGGTCTCTGGACTGGACTCAAACTCAAACACTGAGAGACTATATCTACACTCGGGTGTAAATCACTGAGGGATTATGTCTAAACTCTAAAATCAGACTCAAGGACTGAGAATACATGTCCAAATTCAAGACTCAAACACTAAGAATTTATGTCTAACCTCAGACTCAAACGAATCAGAACTTATGGTAAACTAAAACATGAGGTCTGTGGACTGAAACCCTGGGAATATTGGACAAGACACATTATCAAACACTGGGAGATTCAGAGGCAAACTGTCCAACAGGACGTCACTCACATGTAAACAACTGGACTGGACTCAAAGTCAACTTATGAGGACTCAGGACTTGAACCAGAACTAGGGGCTTGTGGGATCTTGGGAATGCACTTGGATGTCAGACTGAAGACTGACTTAAACTCAGTCATTAAGAGCTTGACAACACGAGTGTGTGTGTGTGTGTGTGTCATTAGTGCATGGTGCTGAGCAGCAGGATTTAGGGGGGGATGAGTCCAGCTGTGTTTTCATGGCTGGCGTCCATGTAAAACCATGGTATGTTCTCTGTTTTCATGTCTCCACAAAAACAAAGCCCAGACTCCTGAAGCATGACAGAGTCAACCCCTCTCTATCTCTCACTCCCACTCTGTGACCCTTTCCTTCTTACCTTTTCAAATCTGGCTCCATCATTTCCTGTTGAGTCACTGGCAGAGGCAGACTGCACCGTGTTTAACAGTTCACTTCTTCTCTTGCTGCCTTCCTCCTCCACTTCCTCATTTGAGGATGTCATGTAACAAAGAAGAAGAAAAAAACAGCAGTGTGACTTTGTAAGAAAATATTGAGCAGATACCACTACAATCAGAGCAGATGTAGGAGTCTCTTCCTGGAAACATGATTCATCCACTAAGTGACGTGGAGGATCAAAGGATTATTAGATCTGCAGAAACTTCATCACATCACCAGCCCCAGCAGGTCGCTAGCCATTGTTTTATTAGTAGAGGAAAAGCAGTAAAAATGAATGGAAAAAGTTCAATACAATGACTACATAAAGTCTTAGCTTAAGATGGTGGTTTGTTGCTTTGACCTAAATAACAGGGATTCATCTCAAAAGTTAAAAAAATTCTTTGAAATAAACAATTGGACAAATAAATAACTAACGATGCTACAATAAAGTTCAGATGGTGGTAGGTCGCTGCATCTTAAATGTAAACCCAACATTTTGCCATTTTGTGATCAACTGCTAAACTGGAAGGTAGCAGGCAGGAGAAGGTTACCAGATTATTTTCAAGGCATTTAAAATACCTTGAAACATAGTACACAGAGTATTTACTGTACTATGGCAACACAAGAAAACAACAACAAGAAAACTGGTCACAGATCAGCTACAACCAGATCTTTAACTAAGTGGGAGAACTTTCTTTAACTATATGTGACAATTATAGCGGTGAATTAGTTAGTATTTTGGAATCAAACTAAAGATATCCCTTAAAAATATTAGTTTAGTTATATTTGAAAAATGTTTGGTAAAAACAAGTATTTTGACTTGACAGTGTAGTTTTTTTTATATCCATTCCATACAAAAAACCTCAACACTAATTACAGGCACTAATTCCCTGGAAAATATTCCTCAACAGCTATTGGAAATTCTAGGCGTCCCATAGTAGAGTTGGAGGAAGTGATGCAGTGTTGAGGTAAGATCATGTGGGCGGTGCCACCCCGTGTGAAAGGGAGGGTTGAGGGCACGGCTTAGAGAAACGAAAGGGTTCTGTGGTGGACTGGTTGAGTCACTGAAAAATACAGCTGCTGACTCAGTTTGAAAACTTCTCCTGGAGCATGTCACTGGCCTGTAGAGAATTTGTGTGTGTGTTACTGAGAGTAAACTGGATCATTTGAGGACTAAACATTTTCACATGGCATTTCAAAGCTATGATCCTAAAGTCGATCAAATGTTGTCAAAAAAGGGAAAATGTGAGAGGGAACAAATCCAGAGTAGTTATTATGAATGACTAAAATCATTACGTCAGAAGGAAAATGCAGTGAACATCCAGTGTTTTCCTACACACCCATATTACCACAGCTCTGAAAACTATGTCAGTCAAACCATCAACGCAATGTGATCCAACTGAGAGCACAGACCCTTGGACACACTCCAGAATTAGTCATCCTGGATGTGTTGCAAGGTCCAACTCTGGTGTGTTGTTCACGTAGTAATTTAGAAGGACACCTCCCTCCATAATGGATTGTCATTACCTGATAAAGACATGAAGTACTATTCTACCTGAGTGTGATGCAATATGACTCACCCTGGGAGAATAAAAACCTGCTCCATTTAACTCACCAGTTTAAATTTAAACACAATAATAAGGTCATGAAGGAAACGCAATATATTTTTTATCATCTACCACGTCGTGTCAGGACCTGCAGTCATTACCTAACAGGAAATGAAGGCAGAGATTTAATTGTTTTCAGTAAACTGAAAATAGATCCTCCTGGTCATGTGGAGGCAGCTTTAGCACAGATCGTCAAACACACGTGGGAAACGATGCCACGCCTTGTTATAACTACCCTGTGATCTGTTACTTGATTTAAGAGACATGTATATTACAGGAGACCAGCTATGATGTACAACTTGGAGACAGGAGAACTGTCAAAAAGACCGGAGGATGACCTGTAGTTAAAGAAGCTTGAATATTTATTGTGAGGTGACCAGGATGGAGACAAATAAGTAGATCAGAGCCAGAGTTCAAACTGAAGACTATGATCTAAAATACTGGGAAGAGACACGATCACATGAGAGAAAACAAATACCATCGCAGAAAATATTAGGAATGTAGAGGGATAGAAAAAGCAGTAAGATTAAGTACAAACCAATATAAATGTATCTATTTTTCTATCTAACCATCCATCCAAGTTTATTTATTCAGTTTACGTTGAAACATATCGGAATTTCTAGTCAAATGCAATAGTGACACCTAGTGTTACAAATATGCAACTGTATGATGCTTTATCGAATAAAATTGAGATTGTTTACGAGGATAGATCCAAAAGAAAAGGTTACACTGTTTTGTGTTATTTTAAAGTAGACAGACCAGTGATATCTATTTACATTACTCTCCGTGTATTTTTACCCATCACATGGCTTCTCTTTTCTCTGTACGTGTTTTAAAGAGTTAAACATGGACTGCTGTTGTAGAAAATACAGGATTAGATGAACATTTTTCAAACACGGTAAAAATGTCTCAGTATAATATGAAAGCATTTGGTGTTTGTTGGTTGTTTTTTAGTATTTAAAAAGTGTATGTGTTACAGTGAAGTGTTCAAGATGGATTTGAATAATATCATGATCATCAGGTTTTTCATTCAAGTTTGAAGTGGTATCATTACAGTAGAACTACTCTCTCCTCCAGACGTGAAAGTTCAGCTTCAAACACCAGCAGATGGCTCTGCAGTGTCTCCTCTGGACCTGAGCGGATCATGGATGGATCATTGCTCTGGACACACACACGCGCACACACATGCACACAATTACAAACATAATCTCTGAAACACCTCAAAAAAGCCACACTTTCTGTTAAAAGTAAAAGTAGGTTCACATTTTTGACTGACAATAAATAAAAACAGTCAAAATAGTCTTGTTATGTACTCACTGCCACTGCAGATATAAATGCATCTATCAGGTAGTAATCTGCTTCACCATGTCCACTCAAACCAAAGTAACTGGGTGCATTACTAGGCGCTGTGTGCTTCGTTGATACCTGGGTCAGAAAGTCAAACACAGACACTTCATGTCCGTTGTACGATAGCTCCCCCTGTAGGAACAAACACAAGACAAACTACCATCAGTTTATTGAACTGTTTCCCCACATTGTGTTTCTTTTATAGCTGTTGTTGTTATAACTGTTGATTTTGTTTTCTTCTCTGTGGATCACATTCATTTGAGTCCTACCATGCTGCCATAAATGGTGGTTTTTCGCTGACACATTTCCTTAGTGAAGGCAACCATTGAAAAAGCTGCAGTCACGCCTCCTTCAAACTCCATGTTAACAACCTGCACAAAGAGTAAGTAAAAAGATGAGACTTGACAACGTGTTATACAGACACTAGTATACAGCCACAACTTCACAGACAAATACATTTGAATTTGAGTTATTAGAACTATCCATACTATGTAACGCAATCGGAATAAAAATTACAAAAACAAAACACAGTGAAGAATTTATACTTTGGTTTAGGACACTGAAATTCAAATCACAAGTTATTGTATAAGGGCTTTATATTTTATATAATAACAACAGTCTGAAAAAACATCAGGCATACATTTTGTCATATAAACTTCCACGTAAGACTGTTTTAAATATAAATTCTTTTTTAACACTACAAGGCTCAGGACTATTTTCCCCTTCTGATTATGTTGAGTTTTGTTTTTTTTAAATAAACTTTTTTATTTAAATAAAAAAAAATTCTTGTTGTCAGACAAACAATTTAATCTTTTCCACAACTAATTTACAGTAAAAGGTTGTACAATTTTGTGACTGATGTTTGTCAATATGAGAAGAACAGCCATGAATCCATATGTTATCAGAAGTAAAACCATGGTCTAAATACAATCATTGTATTGTGCTTTTATGTTTAATTGTTTCAGCGTTACCTGATTACTGCAGACATCATTGTCACACTCGTAAACACAACGTCCATACGGCCCAGTCTTCAAAGCCTCGGTCACTGACTCGATGTCTGGCAAAGAGTTTTTACAGATGACAGACACTGGCCAGCCTGTGTGTCCCTACAACACACACACACTATGCTGAAAGTGATGTATTACAACTCAAGTATCATGTCCAGAAATGGACCAGTGGACAATAAATTAAAGGAGACCGTTTACCTGCTTCACTCTGGCCAGGTAGATTTTACGTGCAGAATATGGACAGTCATTTTCTATGGAACAGTCCAGGCAGCGATCTGCTGCTCCTGGTGGCTGACATAGGAATAAACATTGTAATATATACAGTTGTTATAGAGTACAGATAGATGTTTAGCTGGCGTACAAAAACTGAAGCAATTGACAGGATAAACATGTCACACTGTACCTTTTTATCATTTCTGAAGTGAGAGAGGGATCCAAAGGATGAAACTTTCACACACCTGCGCAAACTGTTGTTTTAATGTGTGTGTGCACAAACTAAGACAACAAATGACAACAAATTATGTCTCACCTACGAGCTCCAACCCAGTTATGTATCAGGTCGATGTCATGGCAAGATTTAGCCAAAAGTGCAAAAGAACTCTGAGCTTCATTCCTCCAGTTCCCTCGCACGAAAGAGTGAGCAAAGTGATAAAACCCCACCTGGAACAAGAGAATTTGAAAATCTTTTAATCATTATATTAGTTTGATATGTGGCTGCAGTAAAAAAAAAAAAGTTTTCGTGTGGCTTGTTAATTGTTTTCTTACTGGTTCAAAGTGTTGAATATGGATGACATCACCTATGGCTCCAGCTTCAATGAGCTCCTGAAAAAAGACAGCTTTTATTTTTTCCTAAACCCCAAAAGGACCCTTGTGAACATTTATTACTTGAACAAAAAAATAATTTATCATTAACCGATACAAAAAAACAACATCTGGATAATAAAAAAGTTTTTAAAGTTTTTTAAAAAATGTGTTCATTTTGATTGATCCTGATGTAAAACTTGAAGAGAACCCAAATAAAACCCCTGGATTTCTGTTATAAGATACATTTTCAGATATCAATTTGTGACAGAAGCCTGTTCACCTTTATCTTGTGGATGAGAGGATCATATCGCAGAACATGACCAACTGACAGAATCACCCTGCTTTGAACACAGGCCTCCACAATCAGCTTGCAGTCTTCAACAGTTGTCTGAATAGAAGAGCATGGAACATCGTTGTGTGAGGAAGACATCGATCAGGACAACACAAGACATTAAGATGTTTGCTGCTCTTTACTCACTGCCATTGGTTTCTCCAGCAGGATGTGGTAGCCTTTCCTAGCAAATGTCACTGCGGGGTCCTAGTGAAGAAAATCTAGTTTACATTTGTTATGGTGGGTTGAAAACTATAATTGGTTTGTAATAGAAAAACAAAAGTTTACTTTGCTTGTGCTGCTTGGGAAAAATTTTGAGCACTACACAAAATAAGTATTTTTATATATGTGTGCATGTACCTTATGAAGGCAGTCTGGAGTACAAATCAACACAGCATCTGCAAACTTCTCCCTTTCAGCTAAACTGAGCCAATCTAATTTTTGGGGGAAGAAATAAAATATAATCACAATTTCACACACTGAATAATAGGAAGTAAAATTAAATAATGATTACTTTAAATTATTTACCAGCAAAAACGTTTTCATCTGGAATGCTGTGTTGCTGCTGAAGTTTAGAACAGGCAAATTTTCTTGGATCAGCAACTCCCACCACCTGGGGTGATGAAAAGAATGCAGCATTGTCTTAAACAAAGAAGAAGAGACAGGAGGCATTCAAGAATCCAATCCTATCCATAATCCCAGCTAGAACCTCGACATCTTAAATTTTGCCATCTCCAGCTCACACCAATCCTGTGTTAAAATATATCCTTTTTCTATTAATTGTCATTTTGAATAACCATGTTCAGCCAGCTGTGGACACTGCACCCTGTCTTAGCCATCACAGTGAATCACACTGACTTTCAAAAACAATTCCTAATCTGGCAACAGAGATAAGCTCGCTGAGGGGGCAGCTTGAGAAAGAAGAGTCTGAGACACTGAACAGAGTGAGGGCATTCATTTGTCCTTCTGCTTCGTCAACATCACACATGCAACTGCTTGTGAGTATTGACCTCTAGAGAGGGAGACACAATCCGTTCGTGGTGACTTGTAAATGCACTGTTGAACAATTAAAGTTGTTTGCTTATTTCACATTTATAGTGATTTATCATTAATATTGTCTTCATTGACTGTGTCCCTCAAACACGCACACGGGACGAGTTGGGTCCTGCCGCCCAATGGTTGAGGGACAGCGAACGCCAACAAATGTTAATATTTGTTAGTCCACAGCAGACTTTCACCTTTACTCTCATACTCTCTTTAGAGCAGTGACCGTCTTTGAGGTCAGCTTCATTTTATTTTATACAGTCAATCATTACCACACCACAGCAACTATACTGAACTGAATTTGCGGGAAAACTGTGTGCCAGTTGCCCTGACCTTCATGAGTTCAGGATGGATGGAAGCATACTTGGAGTAGATCTCCCCTCGACATCCTGCTCCCACCACGATGACACGAACAGGAGATGTCATACTGGCACCCTGTGAACTGTAGGAAAGAAACTCTTAAAACGTTTTATTTCAAAGTATTTTGTTGGTACTGAGCATTTCGGATGCTATGCTTCTCCTTTCTTTCTCTGAACATAAGCAGAACATGCAATAAAACACCCACCTATTCGCCCCCGTTCCGTGGTTCAACTTTGCCAATGCAGTGTTTAGCAGATGTAAGTCTCCTTAGTAGTTTTGTTGTTTGACACATTTACAGGTTATTTCCTTGCATGGCTCGAGTAAATGTCGTCTCTACAGCGTTTAATTGTAGAGACGACTGTTAATCCTTCTATTAATTAAGCCCATTAAATGAAAAAACAACATTAGTCGATTTAAACGCTTATTATTTTAATTTCCGGGTTTCTGTCAAGGTTCAAACCAAGTGTTTCATGACCTACTTCAGCCTCGTATGTCTGTCACTCCCTGCTGCTGTCAGTCTTGGTCCGCTTCAACCTAAACAACCGTGAGCTACTCATTTACTACATCTTGACTATGAGCACCACAGAATGTGAATTACTTCTTCGTCAAACGAACAAGAGCCACAATTACCACATTTTGTTATACCGCCACCCATTGGCTACTGCCGTGACATAGCTGAAAAATGCAGTTGAAAAAAATGTTACAACAAACAAAAAACCAAGGATGCATTTCCTCGCGACAGAGTCTCACCGCAGTCATAGTCACTTGACTTCACTTGTGTAATTATTACGGTTACTACTGTTTCACCGAGCTTTAGTTTACGACGTCTTTTCAAAGTAAACTTCAAGGTTATCAGAAAATACGGAATTAACATTTGTCTTTACGCGAAAGAGTGGAAAATTAGATTTACCAGAAATGCAATGTAAATTTACTTGAATTGAAAATACCCATGTTGTGGGTTAATAATACAACCTTTAATATTACACTGTAAAGGTTCCATGCTACTTTCACGTGCTATTAGAATTACGGGAAATAGGAGTTCCTGAAATGTAACGTGCATAGACGGCCTGTGCAGTGTTTGATGGTGAAACATTTCTCTTTCTGTCTCCATCACACAGACACAGACATACACAAATAAAACAACATTATTTATTTGTATTGTTTTGTATCTCTTTACATTTTTTAAATTCCATCACTCTTTGTCAAGATACTTTAATCTGCCTTTGAATCAAGGTTGTTTTGGCAAATATTTATATGTATTCGCCTTTCATCTACAGGGCAATCCTATTATGGGTTGACATTTTTCTATACGTCTGTCTTTTATCCGTGAGGTAGAACAGTTTAAAGGCATCAATGCATGTACGTAACACTATGAATTGCAGGTTTTATGTGTGTTAGTTTGAAACCACAGATTTTTATTGTAAAGTATTTCATGTTTTTCACTTGTTCTGTACCCAACATGGAAAAGGTGAGAAATTTAGATTATAAAGACACTATTTTGAACAGTAACTTGTATTTTCTCAAATATTAGTGAAACAATCCTGGTAAACTGGTAGACTAACTAATTAACCAAAGAATTAGGGTCAGTAGACTGTGGCTGTCATCAGCGGAAACTTTATTTTCAGAACACAATATAGTGTGCAGTTTACGTTTGACTAAATCAAAGTGAGCTTCATTCTAAACTAAAGGTTCATTACAGATATGTGAAATGCCATCTCACCTCATTGACCACAGCTACAGCAGAAGAGAACTCACCATGAGTGGGAGCAGCACAAACGTGACAAAGGTGAAAACGATTCACATGCACTGCCTTAAAAATTATTTGTTAGCTGTTTTAATGTAAAACATAACAGCTCTATGTGTTGCTCTGTAATGTTTGCAAATGTGTATTTTCACATGCCCTGAGTGATAAGAAAGCATAGTAGGGGTTAAAAACCAACACTATTAACGTTGAGCCGGTAACATTAGGACCAAAATATGGGTTGTGGAGAAAACAGTGAGCAACACGTTGTTGCTACCAGGAAGCACTGGTGTAAAGGGTCAGATTTGGAATTTAACCTCCACACTTTGGGAAACCTCAGGAACGTATTGCAGTGGAAAACTAAGCTAGTACCAATGCACTGTTATTAAGGGGCCCATGCACTGTTATTAAGGCTATTAAAATAAGACATAGGCAATATTGTTTAATAATATAGACAGACAGGCAAACAGAGAAAGTTTGTAGTTCCAAATTTACAACAAATTATGCTATATTAAAAATCATTTTACAATGTTGTTTAACACCTCTGTGCATTTTCCTCACACGCTTGTGAACATGGACCCGCACCCCTCCAGAGGCTCACGGGAGCATCAACAGAAAGAGCGCTTTCATGGTGCTGCTGTCCAGTCAGACAAGAGCCCCAGTCACCAGCATGTCACATCTCATCAGGAGAATGTTCTTTCATAGGTTAGTATGGGACCATGTGAATCCAAATTATGGGAGTTTACCTGGGATCACATTCATGAGGCTTAATGAGGTTTTATATATAATTAACCCATTTTATTGCTGCAAAACATTTTATAGTCTGTCTGAACTCTCTCCTCTGCCTACAGAATGTCTTCATTTGTCCACACCACTGATCTGGCCTCTGTAGACTATAGCGCAGCCATTTGCATTTCTGCAGGGATCAAAAACATCTACCGATAGACTGTTGAAATGAAATGTGGAGCTGTGAATGTCTTGTATGAACCTTACACACATCGGACCAGCCAGAATGGGATCAATTTCTTGTTAGCTAAATGTCTTTTTATCTCATTTCTTTTCAGATGCAATGAGATATCATGTTTAAGACTCATTGTAAAAAAAATTTAAATTTTTTTTACTTAATACCTCAAACTTAAATTTTATTTCATTTTTTTTACTTAATACCTCAAACTTAATAAAACTACCTCATTTTGTATAAATTGAACTAGTAATTTATTTTTCTTATATTTTATTGCCTACATTTTTTCTTTTTTCTTAAGCTATACTGGTGTGCACAGATAATGGGTACAGATAAATTCGATTATTGGAGTTTATTGTGGATACAGTTGATTTCTTCATTCAGAGTAAATGTTTGAATGTCTCTGCAGCTGTGTTTCAGTTCAGGGTGTGTTTGTTATACCAGGTGCATTTGTCGGAGGAAAGTGGTCAAATTTTGTCACAGTACAAAAACAAATCCGTCCCAATTTTATACTTTTAGCCATTCTGTGAGCGTTGTAATCTGTACCACAGACTAAACTATGATAGCTATGGGTTGATTGGCCTGGAGTTTTTACTGGTCTCTTTAAATAAACTAAGCAGTTCAAAAATCGATTTATTGAAATATATTGTTTTTTGATACAATATGTTGTACATTTATTATTAAGTGACAAAGCCACAAAAGAATAATAGAAGTTATTACTGTTGTCTTGGCTGAAAAAAAAAGTTCTGTCCATGAGCCTCACCTTACATCACATATGTCTATATGACGGTTTTAGATACTGCTTTCCACAAACTTACTATATGCTGGGGAAATATTTCAGAAATGCACAAGCAAAGCGCAAAACATTTAAAAAAAATGTATGTTTATAATTTTCATTTCTATTTTCAGTATGGACTTTTAGTATGGACACCACACAGATGAATAGCATGATCAGATAACGATAAAAACAGTTATGTAATGTCATCAGGAAAATGTCCTGAACAAACCAGTAGATGGCGGTGTCCATCAACGTATACTTTGGTCTACAGCTTGGTTTTCAAGACCTTGTTAAATCTTGTTAAATTGAAATACCGTGAGTAAAATTAAGAGAAAATTAGTAAAACAATTTACTATTACATTCCATGACTTGCTTTTCATGCTTTTCATCCTCAGCCACGCACAAAAAGTTGCTGTTGTAACTAGGCATGTCCGATAATATCGGCCGACCGATATAATCGGCCCAATATTACCATATTTTGTAACATCCATACGAATCGTTATCGGTTTTTCGTTAACGGTTAAATTATGTGTGCTCTAAAAATAGTAGGGTGCCGCAGTGCTCTGAGGAACTTTTATTGAAACACAATTACAGAAAATCGTTTTAAACTCCTTTACTGCTCTCAACCCAGCTTCTCCAAAAACACCTTTTTTTCTCCTGTCCGCACTCTCTTTCTCATACACACCCGCGCTCTCTCCACACCTCCTCACTCCCCCTCCTATACCCGTAACTCCTTCATAACACATGAACACAGAACATTAATAACGATAAACAAGGCTCTAGTCACTAGATGACAGCTCATTTTATTAATCTATATTGATAATCAGGGGATTGTATGCATATTGCTGCTGTCTGCAACACATACAGTGGTTTGTACAGATAAATACATAAATATTACCAGGCACTCAATAGTATTGTAATTCTGTCCTCTAGGGGGCAGAAAATAATTAGATAAGAAACACTGTTTTAACCAATCACCATAGTTAGCTCTACTGCCCGGCTATATCGTTATCAGTTGATATCAGAATCAGAAATTAGGTGTTTGGACAATATCGGCATATCGGATATTGGCAAAAAGTTAATATCGGCCATCTCTAGTTGTCTGACCCACAGATGGACTCAGTCCATCACTTCAACATTGGCAAATCCCATGATGTTCTTCAGTTTATCACTGTTAAAATTCACCAGCAGCAGAGTGGAGCCAACGATGGTGGGTCTCAACACAACACTGCCTTTGGCTTCTTCTTTTGCACTCACATCTCCAACGCTGCACAAAAAACGTAATAATATTAATAAATGAAATAGTTAGCTGCATGTTTACCCTGATTGTTATATTACACTGCCATATTAGAACAAAAAAATGAACATTTAACAATTTTGCTGATAAAACATGGACAGACAGGACATACCTCACTAATATGGATTTCCCTTTTGTAAGGCCGATGCCCCCTACGGTGAAGCTGCAGTTCTTCAGTGGCTCTGGTAAAGTATTTTTTATTCTCAGCTCTGCAGTCACTGGCTTATTCACTCTGGCCCGTCCCATCAGCTGCAGAGACAGACTCAGGTTAACATGATAGTGTTTTTTATCATTATGCATTTTCAGCTCACCTCATATACCTGACCAATAATATCACCCACCTAGACGCACATGTCTTTGTTTTCTTTTGTGTTTAAAGCTCCAGGTAAACTGTCTTAGACTTACTGATGTTAGAGCCAGTTATTAGAGACATTTGGACACTCTTAATTGGTCATTAAATTAGGTATGCTGAGTATCTTATCACTTTTACTGAGTTGGTTATGTTCAATAGAATTGACAAATCCACACACACACACCAGTCAGTCATACCTTGATCTCTACTTCTGGCTCGTCCAGTACGATGGTCTTTTCTGCCTTGTGGTAGTTGGATGATTCATCAAAGGTGATGCTGGACACCTGGATCATCAGGTCTGATGTGATCACTGGACCATAGGTGTCATACATCAGTCTGAGGGGAAGGCGTCTTTCTGCATTTTAAACATGGGACAGTTTTTAAGGCCATGCAACCAGACACAGGTTTTTGACTCTATATTAAGCAGGTTAAGATGTGGAATGTGATAGTACTTATTCCAACCCTAACCCAAACACATAGTATAATGATATGATCTTCTTTGTAAGGACAGCTTAGTCAAATATAAGACAACACAGAGTGCTTTCTCTGGGATCAAACCTTCTCCAGGTGGCACCTCTAGTTTGCCTGAAGCGTATCCACAGGGCTTTCCTCGTTTGCCATTGTATTGCACAGCTTTGGCGAAGATCTTTACATTGCAGGTTTTGGACTCCATGTTGTTATTTTTAAGCAGAGCATAGACGTCAAAGTCTGATCCCATGACCATGTTGTCAATAAGCTTGATCTAAAAATAAACATATACACAAAACATAATAAGTGTCAATTGGCAGTGGTTCTCTGATGGCACAGTTTTTAATCATCTTCTTTATGAATTGTTTTCAAATGTAATCCCTGGATTCGATAACAATAAAGAAACCAAATGTTTGATATTAATAAGAATCGTTCTTTTTCTCCATTAATAAACAGTTATTTAAACGAGAGGGAAAATAATCCATAAAAACTGGGAATTGAAAATAAAGGTTGGATTACAACCAACAACTTGGTAAATATGCTCAGCAGTAATTGTTTACCATTATTTTTACCAACAGCAGCCAATATAACAGATATCACAGTTGTGTAGGAGATACAACCTGCTGTCATTAAAATAACTGTGACATTGGGCTATGGTTATATTATATCACTCTGGGTTATCAGGCTTCAGTTTGAAGTCTTGTCTATTTACAGACATAAAATTCGCCAGTAAAATAAACATTTATTTGCCAGGCTGCCAGTGTGCAGTACTGCACCTGCTGTGTGCCTGTCACCTCTGACATTTTCCTCTTGTGATTAATTTGTCCTGCCAATGTTTCTGTGTGCAACACATGTATTACTTGTGTTTTATAAAATAATCACTTTAGAAACCGATGATAAAGGATTGGTTGATGTAAAATACTTTGAGGTTGAGTCCAGGTTTTTCCCCTCTCTGCTGTAGCTTGTTGTGGTGCTGGGCCTTCTCGTACACCTGCCTTTCCTTTTTTGAGCCTGAAAAGAGCGAAAAATGTCTTAAAGAACATCCAAAAACGTACAGTGAATAGTTTGCTCCTAATGCCATGGTGCTTTGCTACCTTCTGGATACTTGTACTTATGTGTGATGTCACGTCTTTCGTCTGAGCCCACAGCTTTGGTGCTGATAGAACGTCCTACTGATGAAGTGGACTCACGGACAGTCAAAATCTTCCCGGTTGACAGCTGCAGCTTTGTCACCACATCTGCATTAACCTGTTTGTCAAGTCATGTCAGATCATGAATCATAAAATCAAACATGGTCTATTTACATTAAATGTCTTTAAAAAACTGACCTCAGCAAAAACAAAGGGAGTGTCATACACTGTGGTCAGTTCTCCTTCCTTGGTGGCGGTCAGTGAGGCCGGTCCACAGCAGAAAACACCTGACACAGAAGATGTGTCAGAATATGTCAGTCATACAACACCTTTCATTATATTAAAGTACAAACATATGTTGATCAATTAACAAAAAGTATCAAAGTTTTACTTTGCTACTAATTATTTTAATAATCTTTTTTTATAATTCAAACACGTGTTTAACAAATTTAAGAACTAACTTGAGGAAAAAAAAAAATTCAATCAATCATCTGTGCAGCATTAAGTGGTTCAAATGATCTTTATTACCATTGCTTGTTTCCTGTGGCGTGGGGTCACTGATCTGCCACCCATCATACTTAATGCCCAGGTCTGGACGTGTCATCCAGCTTTCCACCCAAACATGAAAATTCCTGGAAAATAATAAACATAATAATTTGATCATTATTCTGGGCAATAATGTCAGAAAAGGCTTCAGTTTAAAACACAGACAAATTGAAAATAAGAAGAGACCCCACCCCATTTACTAACTTACCATATTGAATCACCATGAGAAATTCTTTCCCCATCAGTATTGTAGACCATTTCTATCAGTAAGTTGGCATCAACGTCATGAGCTGATCCAAAGTTAGTGACCACACGACATGGGATGCCCAGAGCTCGGGACACTGGAGGAAAACAGAGGAGACTGTTCTTCACTTTATTAATGAAACCTGTCAGTGCATGATGACGGTTTCAGAGAAGCAGATTTCAGACTATATTTTACACAGTGCCCCAACCTGTGCATGCAACGGCAGCAAATACCCAACACTGTCCATAGCGGACGGGACCACTTTCTGCCCACTGGCGCAAAATGTCCTCACTGCCGATCCATTTTGTAGGACGAACTCCATCATCTGATATCTCTCCCCAATTTCCCACCAGCACACCATTGTCATCATTACTGTTGATCTGTGGACACAGACAGAGGGTAAATGGGGCAATAAAAAGAAGAACGACTTTTGAGTAGGTGTGCTCGCTTCGAAAATGTTTCTAGGGATGTTCCATAATATCGGCCGACCGATATTATCAGCCCAATACTAGCATAGTTATGTAATATCTGTAAGAATTGTTATCAGGTTTTCCTCCGATAATGAAAAGCCGGTAACGATATGCCTGGGTTCCGACAAATCATGTGCGCTCTAAAAATAGTTCAACGCCCCAGCGCTGGTATCCGCATATCGGATACTGGAAAAAACGTAATATCGGACATCACTAAAAGATTTCAAAAGAATAGTTTGAATACGGCTTCTACTGCTCTGAGGAATTCTGATTTGTCACTTGCTCAGCATCTTAGAACCCTTAGTTTCTTTTGCTGTCTCTGTGTGACAACGGCTGCCAGAGTTAAAAAAAGAGCACAGAGATAGTGGGTTTCTGCTGAATCATGATAATCTGGGCCTCCACGTGTGAACCTACCATGGCGCTCAACACTCTGGTCACATAGACTGGATTCTTCCTTTCAGAGCAGTCTTTGTCAGCATTTGACAGAAATTTGGGATTCTCATCCAGAATCTTCAGGCATATGTCCAGGATTCCTGGTTCAAACTTCAGAAGACAAACACTAGTGAGCATCATGTAATACATAATGTTTAATTTTCATATAGTAATCTTATAGGCAGGGTCTTCTATCTTGTTTCACATAGAAGTTTCTAACTGCTAACATGTATAGATACATGCATAGTTAGTCTATAAAACAATAAGCAGGATAAAAAAAGCAGGACATTATTTAATTGATGACACCAGTAAATATTTTCCACTAAGTTCTACCAAGGTCTTCTTCAATAGTATTGGAGAAGACGTGCAATGTATAAATTCAGCCACCTGTGCAAAGTTCCAGGGTTTTCCTCTGATACGTTTGTGTGTTCCCCTGTAGACCTGCCCTGTCTGGGCCAAGACGTACTCTTGCCGTTTCTTCTCATTGCGCATGTAGACAGCATCATCTGTGAACCAGTGGAGAGGAGACATAAACTGTGTGACCTCCAAACAACCACATAACTATTCCATAAGTTCTGAGATCGTAACTACAGGACAGTTTGGGTTTTTTAGACATACTCACTGGAACACCATGCATTAAAGAGCAAAACAAACTGTCCCAAATTGGTCTCCTGTTTTCCCTGGGTGAGGGTCAAAGAATAAAGTCCTATAGGACTATCAGGGGAGGAATTGATGCACACAGACACTGTATTTCCACTGGGATCAGTTATGGCAGAAGCACTCCATTCAGTGTCCACTGTGGAGTCACCAACACTGAAGGAAACCTTTGTGTCTGATTGCCTTCTGGGTGAAGGTCCTGGGAATATGGACAAAGGAAACATTAACACACATTAACTCACGCTCCTTCATCGCACAAATATTATGAACCAGAGGTAGATGAGAAACAAACCAGTTTCAGCGATGAGAGTAAGTTTTGTCCGGCCAATTCTAAACTCTGGGCTGTCAGGTTTTAGGTACAAAATGATGGTGAAGGTTTGGCCCCTCCTGACGATCAGTCGCTCCACTCCATTCAGCTCCGTGTGATGGCTGCGGTTGTTGTTCTCAATGTTCAGATCACAACGCTGAATGTCCAAGACTGGGACAGAAAAAACGACATTGGGACAGACTGAATGCTGAAGTAGAATTTTAATGAAGACTTTGTTACTATTTGAGTACTGTCAACATGCAACGAATAAGAAGAAATCCAGTGCATCTCCATGTCATTGATGTCTGACATATCAGATGTCACTCATCATTTCTGCTCTTGATATTTCACATATTATTTTCAGTCAGCTGTAGTCAACATTCAGACTCAGAGAGAACAGAAACCTGCATTTTCTGATCCACACACTGATCCAAACCATGCATGCAACAGTGTTTGTGATGAAAAAAAAATCATTCTTCTTCTTACCGTCACTCATATTTGCAGTAAAGCTTGTCCTGTCTTGCTTTTATTTTTATTTTTATGACTCTTCGGCTGCAGTCTGTTCTCGTTGGTAGATGTTCCTGTTCTGGTCCATGAGGAGTATTTGTAGCCTGTGAAACCTGATAGGTACACCCCCATCTGGCTGTCTGGTCTTTACTTCCCTATTTTAGTTTCACTATTTAATCTAGACAGACACACGTACTTACAACACCCATTTCCTTTTTAACTCTAAAAATGAGTGTTGATTTTTTTCAGAGGTGTGCTCTCAGTACATGGTAGGGTTGGGTATTGTTGTGGAATATCTGATATGAAGTTTTTTGCCAATATGCGATTTGCAGATATTGACCAATCACTAAAATGTATTTATCTGTACAAACCACTCTATGAGTTGCTGGCACCAGCATTCTGCATAAAATCCCATTTTTATTAAAATAGATTAATTAAATGAGTTGCAATGCTGCCATCTAGTGACTTTCACTTTAATATACAGCCGTTTATCCCCAAAACTATTTTTAGGACACACATCCTTTGGTGAAACCCAGGCATTGTGTTATCGGGTTTTCATTATCGGAGGAAAAACCAATAACAATTCATACAGATATTACATAACTATGCTGATATCGGGCCAATTTATATCAGTCGGCAGATATTATTGGACATCCCTAGTATTGGTAAGCATGTCATGATTTGATTCGATTTTGCTTTTTAGTTTCAAAATCGAATTTAGTATCAATTCGATTTAATCTTGATCTAAATTCTCCAGTATCAATTCAGTATCAAGTGACAAGACACAAATAATTCATTGAGTACCAGATTTGATTAAAGATTATTATTTTACTGTAGTTGCATGTCCATATAAACAGCCAAGGTATAACTCATAGTTTTTATTGATTATAACACATTACTACACATCTAAAAATAAAGCATCAGCACAATACTAGTGCTGAACATGGTGTACAAAAGTAAAAACAAAAACAATACAGCTCCCCCACCGGCCAGGGGTGTTGTAGTGGAAAGGACTGTATAATTTATTGGCATTTATAGCGTGTGGCCACTGGGGGCATCAGTCAGAGTGTACAGGTGTTTCTTTTTAATCCTTTATTGGAGTATTACACTCTAAATTGTAGCCGTTAATGTCTGTGTGTTTCTGGGTCAACATAACTGCCAGATAGGGAACAATATATAAGGCAGACAACCACGAACATCTCACTTACTGGTTTATGAACACACACTAATAGTAAATATAATAAAATAAAAACTTTGCTTCACACACACACCAAATAGCTCACAAAAAGTAGTTGTCACAGTCTGACACTCAGACGGACTCAGTACGTCACGTCTACCTTGACTGAGCCCTTGATGTTCCTCAGTTTGTTACTATTAAATTTCACCGTCAGCACAGTGGGGCCAGCGATGGTGGGTCTGAACACAACCCTGCCTTTGGCTTCCTTGTTTGCACCCACATCTCCAACGCTGCAATAAAAAATAAATAAAATAGTTATGGCCATGTTTCATTATAACTGTAATAATACACTGCCATATTAGAACTAATTAAAGAAACATTTAGCACCGATTGGATGTGGACAGACAGGACATACATCACTGAACTGGATCTCCTACATGCAAGCCTCCTGCCCCCTACAGTGAAGCTGCAGTTCTTCAGTGGCTCTGGTAAAGTATTTTTTATTCTCAGCTCTGCAGTCACTGGCTTATTCACTCTGGCCCGTCCCATCAGCTGCAGAGACAGACTCAGGTTAACATGTTAGGGGTTTTTATCAATATGCATTTTTCAGGTTGTTTTTCTTACACATCGTATACGTGACTAATAATATCAACTACCTAGACTATGTAGAATTGACAAATCCACTTTAATTAAAATGTAAATATCCACCACACCCTTTAGGCTCCAGAGCCAGAAACAGGACACAGGACTGACTGGCTACTAATTACACAATCGTGCGATACAGACTTGGCTCTCACCAGTCAGTCATACCTTGATCTCTACTTCTGGCTCGTCCAGTACGATGGTCTTTTCTGCCCTGTGGTAGTTGGATGATTCATCAAAGGTGATGCTGGACACCTGGATCATCAGGTCTGATGTGATCACTGGACCATAGGTGTCATACATCAGTCTGAGGGGAAGGCGTCTTTCTGCATTTTAAACATGGGACAGTTTTTAAGGCCATGCAACCAGACACAGGTTTTTGACTCTATATTAAGCAGGTTAAGATGTGGAATGTGATAGTACTTATTCCAACCCTAACCCAAACACATAGTATAATGATATGATCTTCTTTGTAAGGACAGCTTAGTCAAATATAAGACAACACAGAGTGCTTTCTCTGGGATCAAACCTTCTCCAGGTGGCACCTCTAGTTTGCCTGAAGCGTATCCACAGGGCTTTCCTCGTTTGCCATTGTATTGCACAGCTTTGGCGAAGATCTTTACATTGCAGGTTTTGGACTCCATGCTGTTATTTTTAAGCAGAGCATAGACGTCAAAGTCTGATCCCATGACCATGTTGTCAATAAGCTTGATCTAAAAATAAACATATACACAAAACATAATAAGTGTCAATTGGCAGTGGTTCTCTGATGGCACAGTTTTTAATCATCTTCTTTATGAATTGTTGTCAAATGTAATCCCTGGATTCGATAACAATAAAGAAACCAAATGTTTGATATTAATAAGAATCGTTCTTTTTCTCCATTAATAAACAGTTATTTAAACGAGAGGGAAAATAATCCATAAAAACTGGGAATTGAAAATAAAGGTTGGATTACAACCAACAACTTGGTAAATATGCTCAGCAGTAATTGTTTACCATTATTTTTACCAACAGCAGCCAATATAACAGATATCACAGTTGTGTAGGAGATACAACCTGCTGTCATTAAAATAACTGTGACATTGGGCTATGGTTATATTATATCACTCTGGGTTATCAGGCTTCAGTTTGAAGTCTTGTCTATTTACAGACATAAAATTCGCCAGTAAAATAAACATTTATTTGCCAGGCTGCCAGTGTGCAGTACTGCACCTGCTGTGTGCCTGTCACCTCTGACATTTTCCTCTTGTGATTAATTTGTCCTGCCAATGTTTCTGTGTGCAACACATGTATTACTTGTGTTTTATAAAATAATCACTTTAGAAACCGATGATAAAGGATTGGTTGATGTAAAATACTTTGAGGTTGAGTCCAGGTTTTTCCCCTCTCTGCTGTAGCTTGTTGTGGTGCTGGGCCTTCTCGTACACCTGCCTTTCCTTTTTTGAGCCTGAAAAGAGCGAAAAATGTCTTAAAGAACATCCAAAAACGTACAGTGAATAGTTTGCTCCTAATGCCATGGTGCTTTGCTACCTTCTGGATACTTGTACTTATGTGTGATGTCACGTCTTTCGTCTGAGCCCACAGCTTTGGTGCTGATAGAACGTCCTACTGATGAAGTGGACTCACGGACAGTCAAAATCTTCCCGGTTGACAGCTGCAGCTTTGTCACCACATCTGCATTAACCTGTTTGTCAAGTCATGTCAGATCATGAATCATAAAATCAAACATGGTCTATTTACATTAAATGTCTTTAAAAAACTGACCTCAGCAAAAACAAAGGGAGTGTCATACACTGTGGTCAGTTCTCCTTCCTTGGTGGCGGTCAGTGAGGCCGGTCCACAGCAGAAAACACCTGACACAGAAGATGTGTCAGAATATGTCAGTCATACAACACCTTTCATTATATTAAAGTACAAACATATGTTGATCAATTAACAAAAAGTAGCAAGTTTTCCTAAATTTTTTTTTTGTTAATTTGCAAAGATATGTAACAAATTCAAGTTCGAGTTTAGAGAAAGGAAAACATGTATTAACCACATATGCCTTCATGACTTGAATGACAAATGTCTTGGCTTCCTAATCTGCTGACCTGGTCACAAGTTCTGATCAGCTGCAGTGGTTAACAGTCATACAGTTGACACTGTAAAACACACTGACAATCAATCATCTGTGCAGCATTAAGTGGTTCAAATGATCTTTATTACCATTGCTTGTTTCCTGTGGCGTGGGGTCACTGATCTGCCACCCATCATACTTAATGCCCAGGTCTGGACGTGTCATCCAGCTTTCCACCCAAACATGAAAATTCCTGGAAAATAATAAACATAATAATTTGATCATTATTCTGGGCAATAATGTCAGAAAAGGCTTCAGTTTAAAACACAGACAAATTGAAAATAAGAAGAGACCCCACCCCATTTACTAACTTACCATATTGAATCATCAGAAATCAATTCTCCATCAGTATTGAAGACAAATTCTATCAGTAAGTTGGCATCAACGTCATGAGCTGATCCAAAGTTAGTGACCACACGACATGGGATGCCCAGAGCTCGGGACACTGGAGGAAAACAGAGGAGACTGTTCTTCACTTTATTAATGAAACCTGTCAGTGCATGATGACGGTTTCAGAGAAGCAGATTTCAGACTATATTTTACACAGTGCCCCAACCTGTGCATGCAACGGCAGCAAATACCCAACATTGTCCATAGCGGACGGGACCACTTTCTGCCCACTGGCGCAAAATGTCCTCACTGCCGATCCATTCTCCAGGATGAACTCCATCATCTGATATCTCTCCCCAATTTCCCACCAGCACACCATTGTCATCATTACTGTTGATCTGTGGACACAGGCAGAGGGTAAATGTGGAATCAATAATATCAGCCAACCAATATTGCTGAATCATGATAATCTGGGCTTCTCTGGGTAGTTGAGATAATGTCCATGTCCAAATGCTGCTCAAAGATATCAGTGAGAAATCTCTAGCGCCTGTTACCACGTGTGAACCTACCATGGCGCTCAACACTCTGGTCACATAGACTGGATTCTTCCTTTCAGAGCAGTCTTTGTCAGCATTTGACAGAAATTTGGGATTCTCATCCAGAATCTTCAGGCATATGTCCAGGATTCCTGGTTCAAACTTCAGAAGACAAACACTAGTGAGCATCATGTAATACATAATGTTTAATTTTCATATAGTAATCTTATAGGCAGGGTCTTCTATCTGCCTTTTTTCATATTATAGTTGCCAACTAAGCATGTATAGAAGTCTATAAAACAATAAGCAGGACATTATTTAATTGATGACACCAGTAAATATTTTCCACTAAGTTCTACCAAGGTCTTCTTCAATAGTATTGGAGAAGACGTGCAATGTATAAATTCAGCCACCTGTGCAAAGTTCCAGGGTTTTCCTCTGATACGTTTGTGTGTTCCCCTGTAGACCTGCCCTGTCTGGGCCAAGACGTACTCTTGCCGTTTCTTCTCATTGCGCATGTAGACAGCATCATCTGTGAACCAGTGGAGAGGAGACATAAACTGTGTGACCTCCAAACAACCACATAACTATTCCATAAGTTCTGAGATCGTAACTACAGGACAGTTTGGGTTTTTTAGACATACTCACTGGAACACCATGCATTAAAGAGCAAAACAAACTGTCCCAAATTGGTCTCCTGTTTTCCCTGGGTGAGGGTCAAAGAATAAAGTCCTATAGGACTATCAGGGGAGGAATTGATGCACACAGACACTGTATTTCCACTGGGATCAGTTATGGCAGAAGCACTCCATTCAGTGTCCACTGTGGAGTCACCAACACTGAAGGAAACCTTTGTGTCTGATTGCCTTCTGGGTGAAGGTCCTGGGAATATGGACAAAGGAAACATTAACACACATTAACTCACGCTCCTTCATCGCACAAATATTATGAACCAGAGGTAGATGAGAAACAAACCAGTTTCAGCGATGAGAGTAAGTTTTGTCCGGCCAATTCTAAACTCTGGGCTGTCAGGTTTTAGGTACAAAATGATGGTGAAGGTTTGGCCCCTCCTGACGATCAGTCGCTCCACTCCATTCAGCTCCGTGTGATGGCTGCGGTTGTTGTTCTCAATGTTCAGATCACAACGCTGAATGTCCAAGACTGGGACAGAAAAAACGACATTGGGACAGACTGAATGCTGAAGTAGAATTTTAATGAAGACTTTGTTACTATTTGAGTACTGTCAACATGCAACGAATAAGAAGAAATCCAGTGCATCTCCATGTCATTGATGTCTGACATATCAGATGTCACTCATCATTTCTGCTCTTGATATTTCACATATTATTTTCAGTCAGCTGTAGTCAACATTCAGACTCAGAGAGAACAGAAACCTGCATTTTCTGATCCACACACTGATCCAAACCATGCATGCAACAGTGTTTGTGATGAAAAAAAAAATCATTCTTCTTCTTACCTTTTCTCATATTTGCAGTAAAGCTTGTTCTGTCTTGCTTTTATTTTCCTTTTTCTGACACTGTTCTGTTCTCGTTGGTAGACGTTCCTGTATTTGCAGCCTTTGGCCCGTTATAAACACCCTTATCGTTTTTTAATATTTAATCTGAACAGACACAGACGTCCAACACCCATTTTCTATTTATCTCTCAAAATGTGTGTAACCTTTATCAGAGGTGTGCCGCTCTGCTGACCATCAGGCTGCTGTCCTCTCAGTGCAGCCAGCCGTGTAAATAATATTTAGATACATTTCTTGTATCAGATTGGAAATGTGTCGTCTTCAAAACTAAAATTATTTTTTAAGAAGCATAATTGACATTAGACCTTCAATTTAAAATGCAAATGAGTAGTAATACTAAAACGTATCCAATATTATTAACACCTAGTTAAAGTACAGCATAACAGAGCTATTGGAAATATATAAATATAAATATTATGAGCTCAAAAAAAGAAATCACCCTAACAAGTTTATTTTCTCATAAATTATGTATCATATATTAATAAATCAAATCTGTTCATGGATTTTAAATTACATTTCATAATTAAACAACAAAAGCCCAACACTGAAAAGAGTTTCTCTTCTTTGACTTTGTCGTCAAGACAGTTACAGGTTGTTACACTTTCACATCATTAAACAACAAAGGCCATTAAAACTGCTAACGAACACATTAGGGCTGAGCTCCTTAGTTTGCAGTTAGAAGAAATGTTTTAAAAATCTTTAAAAAAAATATTGAACTAAAATTAAATCAACAAAGTAAAGCTGATCAACAGGAAATAAGTCTCTAAAACACAAAAAGACGAAAAATCCTGAAGAGGATATTCAACAGGATATAAAACAGGACAACCTGTTACAAAGAAAGGTTTCTAAAAGAGTGTCTGTTCAACACTGAAATGAAGAAGTGTGGCACACTTACAAAATTATTACATCATCGCGTTGGTGCCATGTGTGAAAGATAACGGAGAGTTAAGACAGGATATCAAACCGAAAACCATTAAGCAACGAATAACTGAAAGAAGCAAACAAACAAATGAAGAAATAGAGAAAGAAAGATAATAAAGGAACAGAGACAAGCAAAGGAGAAAGGAATAAGAAGAGTGAGGAAATAAGGAAGAAAAACAGATATAAAAGATGAAAATAATAAGAGAAAAAGAGAGAGAGAGAGAGACAACAGCACATACTACACGTGGAAATAAATACAACTTACAGTTCAATCAGAAAATAAATGATAACAAAAACAGAAATGGGTTCCACACATTGCAAAGATTCAGTGGTTTACAGTGAAATAAAGAAATGGTCATTTTTATGTGAACTTGGAACACTGGTTACAATGACGATCACGACTGGACCCCGAATACAAGTAGTTGAACTGCCTGTGCTTTTTGAATTGTAACATAATGTGTTGAAAAGCTGTATGTAGAAATAACACATTGTCCAAACAAAGAAAAACAAAGAAAGGTGTCCTCTCTGTGATCAAAGTTTAAATTATAAATGGTCACCTGAAATGACTATATCTAGATATATCAAAGTTTAAATTATAAATAGTCACCTGAAATGACTATATCTAGATATAAATAAAATCATTTTCATGGAATCATTTCTCCATTTATAGTCAACTATGTTAGGTCTGTGTCTGCAGCAGCTCAGTCTTTGGCCTCAGGGTCATGTTAGTTATGGTTCCTTTGTGGTCACCAACACTGTTCAGCTGCATCTTCAGTGACACTTGGTCTGTTGGCAAATCACATGACAGTCTTCCTCCAAGGTCAGAACTGTGTCTCCTTTGTGTGTGTGGTCATGACGGAGAACAAACGGCCGTGTTTCTGTTGTATCACTCGTCAAACAAAACCTTTACAGGAAGTTTTTGCAAAATTCCAAACGTACTGTATTTCACGGCCAGAAACCACATCATTCAGTTACAGCAGCATGAAAGACACACAGTACCCTTCAAACTGTTTTTTCTTTCTTTCAAAATAACAGAGTCTGTGTACCACGGCTCTGTGATGGATATAGAAGAGTTCCAGTTTTACTGATTAATCAAAAAACAGAAGTGTGTGATAACCCCTGCCAATCACACCCCATGAGCTGACTGAACTGTCAGTCTGGTGATAAACCTCAGTGTGTCGCAATGTGACCAGACTTCATCAGTTCAGACTAAGACCAAGAATCTGCTGCCAAAATAAAAAACAGTTTAGACTCTGATGGTAAGATATGTTAAGAACTTGTTTCGATCTAGGTGTAGATCAGATTAGCTGGTTAGCTTTTTACTCAACTAAAGTCAAATGCCTCACCTCAGACATGGAAGAGTCAAACCTCTGTGGACTTTGAAATGATCATGTCATCACTCTGAAATGAAAGAAATAATGATTAAAAGAACATTCTCATAATGATGCTGAAGTATCACTGAATCACATGAGCTGAACTAGAACATTCTTACTTAGTATTATTGCACCTTCCCTCTTACCTGAGCTTTGACCAGGTGTGGGGGCTGCGGTGCAACGCCCAGTTTCTTTCTGCTAATCACAGGTGAATCATTTCTCCTCAGACTGGGGGTCTGACACAGCGATGGGCGGAGCTTTGGACACTGAGGAGCTAAAGAGGAGGAATTGTCGTCCACCGTGTCGACACCCGGGGCAGACAGGCAGCTGTGGTCTGACATACTGATGAGGTTGATGCATTCTGATGAGGACGTGGTGCTGTCAACTGAAGGAGAAACACCACCACCACAACAACAACAACAACAGTTCAACTAACACACAACCATCTACATGAAAAACAGACAGTGATCCACCGTCCAAAACATGAATGACAAGCTACATTTGTGAGATGTGGACCGGTCTGTGTGGGCCGGATAACAGCAATCATGTGCTGCGTGGGACCGACTCACTCAGAGGATGAAGTCTTTTCCAGTGTTCACAGTTATCGTGAAGATGCTGATGAAGATGATGACTGTTGAGCTCATTATCCATCAAAGCATCATGTGAAGAGCAGAGAGTAGGACTTGGTTCTACTCCCTGTGACAGATTCCCAGGATAACCAGCAGGGGGCAGTGAGCCCCTGCCAGAAGAGGAAGACGATTGGCTTAGGGTGGTGGAGGCCGTGCTACCTGAGCCAATAGAGTGTGGCCGTGGAAAGTCTAGGCTCCTGTGTGAACAACATGCCACAGGGACTGACGACACACAGATAGATTTCATCAATGAAAAAAGGATGCGCTGAGTCAGTGAGCTGTGAGGACATAAGCGTGACTGACAAAAAATGTAGTAACACTGACAGCTTTGTCAAGGTTGAGCGTACAACAAAATGGTCAATGATTGACAGGTTCAGTGTGTAAGTAAAAAACTGCAGGAAGACAAAAGACAACTCCCATCAAGACCCCTTTGACATCACATTAAATAATGTCCCCGATGCATTTGGTAAATATTTGACAACTTGTTTTTCTCTCTCTGTAATTTCATTCTGTTTCAGTTAGTTTATTTTCCTGGTTTGTGTATTTGAAAACTGTAAATACCCATAAGTCTTAAAGCAACTTTGATAATCACATAAAGATCTTAGAAATTTAGCCTAAAAAACTTGGAGTGAAAAAGACAATATATATAAAAAACCCAGGTGAAACTAAAAGTTAGCCAAAGTACGTTCAAGCTAAACTCAACCTAGCAAGAAAGACAGAAAATAATCTAATAGATAACATTATTCACAAAATGATTCAAATGAAGCCCCTTTTAAAAATGTTTCTTTTTTTACCCCATCTAAAGCTTTGTTACAGTGAGTTTAAAGCTCCATGCTACTGTTAGCCAGACACCTGCTGATTCTGGTTTCAAATGTTATTTATTCCACAGTCTAAGACAAACAGAGCCAAGGCTGCAGTGCATTACTTCAAATAACTCCAGCTGAAGTATCGGAGTGTGGTCCAGTGTTAAACCTGGTGATGGATGAACATCTAAGACACAATCTTTCACTCACAGATGACGTTAGCGTAGCTCGTGTGGCTCAGCTGGATTCTCAGCATGTTCATCTACTTACTTCTCCCAGGCAGAACACAGTTGACGGCTCGGTCACAGATCGCAGCATCACTGGGCTGAATGTCCATGAAAGGTTTGCGGCCCATTCCCATAAAGACCCTCTCCTGCATACGCAGCTCTGTAATCCACATCATGTACTGTTGAGGTGCTGAACTGTACACCAGTGCAGAGGACAACGCTAATATTTCTTGCTCTTTAAATTTCCTATTTGGACCTGTACTGCACCACTGCTAAAACTGCACAAGAAAAGTAATACTTATTAAGTATTTTCCAACCTGGGGAAGGAAACTTCCAAACACACATTCCATCTGTGTTACAATGACAATAAAGACAGATGACATAGTAACATGAATATAATCACCTCTGCTGTGAGCAGCCTGATCCCAAAGGATTCTCTCCAGGTCGGTGGTCCAGGCTTTCTTCCCCTCCATGCTGGTGGCTTTCAGGGTGTACGTGTCCTCACTCTTCCTCCTGCGGAACCAAATCTCAAAACACAGGCTGCCCACGACAGAGTTATGAGTCATGCCGATGTCACTGGTCTGAGAGAGAAAACACAGAGTTAAATGTCACTGATTACAATCACATCACCACACCTCAGACTCCACGGTGGTCTCCTCCGCACGCTCACCTTGAAAGACTGCTTGTAAACGTAGACGTCATTGCCAACATCAGTCTTCTTTGTCTTGCTGAATAGGATTAGATCTTCAAAAAGAAAGACGCGGCGGACACATTTCTTCTTTCTGAAGAAAACTGTGAACTCATCTTGGCGAATCAGCTGACCCTGCTCCTTCAAATTCACCTGGAAGAACAAAGGGGAAAAAGCAAACCTTAGTTGTTCTTTCATCAACGATGAACGCTCTATAACTCAACTTCCTGTGTCTTACGTCACAGTCCCTAATGGCATCCATGGTCAGCAAATCGTTGCCGTGACGCATCTGAAACCGCACCAGGTCTGCAGCGCTCTGGATCTCCGCCCTCTCCCGCTCCCGCTCACCGCTCGTCAGATCAGGTACATAAGCACCTGGACCACACACATTCTGTGTGCTCACTGAAGGCCTGAGCAAACGATCCTGGATCATGTCTTTCGGTCTGTATGATCCGGCCAAAGCCAACATGTCCTGCAACAGGAGACTGTACTTGCTGATCCTCTGGATGGGCCGCAGCAGGTACGACGAGAGGTCCATCATGTCCCCCAGCTCCTGCTGCTTCCTCTGTCAGGGAGAAACCACAATTATACCAACTGATTTACCCAAACTGAGGGAGAGCTTCTGGACCTGGACTGTTGGCTAAAGAACATAATCGGAATAATAACAGAGCGGTAACTGGTACGGAGGGTAAAAAGAAATACAGGAAGTCAAACCAAACCTTGAAGATGTCATGGCGACGGTGCAGGATGAGGGCATCTGACTGAGGCTTGTTCTTACTGTACAGAGCGTACAGACCAAAACTTTCACTCTGTTAAAAAAAAAAAAGTAAACCAAATTGGAATGTTCAAATGTCAGTTTACATCTGAGATCTGTAACTTTCAACACTGACAATTTTTAAAAATAATTTTACCACTAAATAAAAAGTGCTGATGTTGTACACAGTGTCAGACAGAGTTTGTTTTAAGGGGACAGTGCAATTTCATAAAACACATGATTACACATGGTTACAAAAGCCAGAGTTAACCAGAAGGCTAGTTTTACAGAACTCTTTTGATCCAACAAAGAAGTGAGTGGTAGGTGTAGTTTTCTACCAAATTCAAATATCAAATATGGTGTACGGACTCACATGTCTCAGAAAGCAGCGGGCCACCATGGCCGGTTCCCTCTGACACTCCTCCAACTCTGGCAGAAAGTAGTGACTGTGGAAGTTATGCAGCTTCTCCAGGTTTCCAAAGATGATGCCTCTCTTGCCCCTAAGATCTTGGGGAATGTCTTGTCTGTCCAGCAGAGGGAAGTAGTGAGTCAAGATGTAATTCAGTGAGCGGACATACTCCCTCTCTGTGACCACCAGCTCTTCCAGCACCCGCTGCAGCCTCCTGAGACCACAAAGACCAACAGATGTTGATTCAATTTCCTGAACACTACATGGACGTACAATAAAGAAGAAAAAAAAGCTTTAAATTTGAATATGAAATTACATTTATTTACAGTTTTAAGCAAGAAAAACAACACCACCTACCACTCTTCATTGTTAGCTTAAGAAGAGAAAACATTAATTTAATCTTAGTGAGCTTCATCAAGTTCTTTCAGTCAATGTGTTGATAATATTTCTATGACAAAATAATCATCAGATAAACAGTTACAGCAATAAAATGAATGAACTTACAGGGCAGTGCTGGAACTCTCCTGTGTATTTGTCAGACAAAACGTCCCTTCGTATCTCCTCACAGGCAGACTGGAGCATGACGTCCTCTCACCTCCTGCTGCTCCTTTCTCACTCATACAGGAGTCCTGTGAGCAGAAGCTCCCGTGGCGGGAGATCTGGAACTTCTGCGCCTCCTTCAGGATCCGACATGACGGCTGACCGTGGTGAGAACAGGACGATGGTGATCGAACGCCCTGCTCTGGAGGAGTGGAGGAGCCCGCTGTGGCTACTGCTGTGGTGCATGAGTCCTGGCTAATGGACCTGGCCTTGAGTCCACGTGCCCATGGAAACCACTGGCAGCCAACGGTGTGGGACTGGGACAGAGCAGCGGCGTCTCGTTCTCTCCTCGCTCTGCTGGACTGTCTCCTCCTCACTTCTCGTTCTGTTCCCCTTGTTGATCTATAAGAAAATTGTGTTATTTTTATTTTCTATCTACACCTTTTGTAACATGGACATCTTTTAAATGTTTCTTTTCCATAAAAAAAATGCCAATGTCTGTGGAGATTCCTACTTGTTAGGCGACTGTGGAGTGGCCTTTGACCCCTGGCTTGTTCCGGCATCACTGTTCTCCTCAGGTTTGATGATGATGTTGCAGCAGGCAATATTTGTTGAATTTGTGTTGTTGCTTCCCATCAGTGGCTTCCTCTTCCCTAAATCTACAACTCCTGCCACAAAGTCCTCCCACTGAGGATGCTGAGTCCCAGGGATGGACTGTACCACCAGATTCTGACCACTAGGTGATGTTGTCGTACTAGTAGTGCTCACGACATCAATATAGTGACATTCACACGGTTGGTTAGATTCTGGGTTCTGCTGAGCATCCTGTATTCTCTCCTGAAGCTGCTGTTGGGCCTCCTGACACCTCAGCCAGGCCACATTCCACACCCTCATTCCTCTGGATCCGTGGAGGCCACTGGCCTGAACTTTTATCTCCTGAAATTTCTCTAGGCTGAACTGAAGAAACCTGTCCTGAAAATCCAGGAGCTTGTCCTTGTCATTGGCCGACACATCGGTAGAGACTTGAGTGGTGCCTGGTGCTTTAGAGTTGGACGGACAAAGGGAGTTGTTGGCTATTTCTTGACTCTGACATTGTGTCAGCCGAGGGTTTGTTGGTCTCTGATCCAAGTAATCTATGCATTCATTGGCCAATGTCACTGCCTGAAAAAAAACCCCACTTTAGTCTATAAAATAAAAGCCCCAAAACTAAGCTCTTCAATTAATACACTAATAATAATAATAATAAAAATAATAATTAGTGATCAAATAAATATAACATGTTTCAGGATTATGTGTCCTTCACTTTACTTTATACAAACCTGCTCACAAAAATCACACACGTTGACCATGATCTGCAGATCTCTGCCACAGACTTCTGCCCTACAGAGAAATTTCTCCAGGTCTGATCTGAAGGCTTGGACAAAAGACTTGAATGTCTCTGTCTCAGAGTAGGAGGAACCGCTCCGCTGCAGATGCTCTGCCTCCGACACTAATGACATGGCATGATGTCTACGATCCTGAGGATGGAGAAGAACGTGATCAAACGGATCAGAAAATGTGCGCAGATGAGAATCAAGAGAATCAAACTGGGCCTCACGTTAGCTTCAATAAGGAAACCAGTGAAGCTGTTGAGTATTTGCTCCAGTCTGTCTCCAGATTCGTCAACCGACTCAGCCTCCAGCAGGTGGCGCTCTCCTTCTACATTATACCACTGCTGCATCTGTGGTAGGGACAGAGAAATGCAAAACTTTTCTTTTTCTCTTTGTCCCTGGAATTTCTTAGCGATATCTCTGTTCACTGCAAAAGGAACAGGAAGTGCCAAATGTCCCATTTCAAAATTAAAATGATCCCTTGTAACTGCAGTGATCCCCAACACAGAGAGATCATTAGGTGTGCTGTGGAAAATTGTCCAATGTCACTTAATTGTTCTCAAAACTATTATTGATTTATTGCAAATATTTCTTCTTTGTTCATCAATGTGTGACGGGCAGAGCAGTTAAATCCTCTTCTGCTAGGTGGCAGCAGATGGATATTAAAACTAAAGACAAATAATCAGAGCTGAAGAAGATATTTGTGTATGTCTTTCTTCAATTCCTAACTGAAACAGACCAAGATTTTAGACAATTAAAAGGTCATTTAAACCAGAATATTATTGTATTTCATTACATGTACTTTTGGTGAGATTGTTGTGTTGTGTTCCGTGAGGTTTTTCCTGATGATATATATGGGTTGAAAAAAAGGTTAAAAAACACTGATATACTGTGTTTGCTAATCATAGAATAATTAGCATTTTTTAAAGCACAGGTTTGACACAATCATGGAATGATTTTTTTTTTTAGAAATCACATGTAACAATGTAACATATACTAATAATCAAAGAAAAAAACCTCAAAGAAAATTAAATAAACTAAAAACCTTTTTTTTTTTTCACCTTCACGATTCTTAAGTAGTGTACAGTCACGTACCTGAGTGAAGTGATCTTCCATCCCTCTGAGCTGTTTCAGGTATTCCAGGTGTTCCAAAGACACATTGGAATTGTGCACCAGGATGTGAACCTGCTCCTCCATGTGATTGTAGAGGCTGGTCACTGAGTCCACAGCATCACTGTCATTAATAAAGTCATTAATACCGTTTAGTTACACTTTTTAGTGTAATCTTATCCACATATCTTGAACATATGTTGTTGTGGTAACTGTTTACCTCAGGCTGTCACAGTGAGGATATTTCAGATCACTCTCCCTCCTCAGTCTGGCCAGGATGGAACCACCCTCCCTCTGCAGACTGACCAACTTACTCTCCTCCAGCACATCCTTCATCAGAGTCTTCTGGTCCATCATGCATTGCTGCACATTCTGTCGGTGAAAAAAAAACAACATTTATATGAAATAATTTTGAAATATAAACTAATCCTTTATTCAGTTCAAGTGTTTACTTACCTGAACGGTGTCTGTTCTTTGGGGTTCTTCTAATTTTCTGATGGTACTTAGCAGCAGGCCGGACGCCTCATGAAGATCAGACACGAAGGGGAAGAGTTTCTGGACAATGAGAAATGAGGATTACGGTTCACTGTAAGCAGTAGAGACAGGAACTTTTATATGGAGTTATTTTAAAGAGGAGGGTGGAGTAAGATAGGAACAAACAGGAGTGTACTGAGGTGGTGCTCTGACCTGATGCAGCTCCAGCCAGTCGAGGTGGCTGTGACACAGGGAACCATCCAGATGGGAGCTGAGATGACTCACCTCCACCAGCTTCAGCAAGGCTTTCATAGAAGACACAGTGACAGTCTGCTCAAGGGAACACACATCAACGTAAGAAAAACATGTTCACATAGCTACGCAACAAAAAGAAGTTTGAACGTGTGCTAACGTGAAGCATTACAGATCCAAACTCACAAAATAAAAGCTACAGTTACAGAGATAACTGCAGAAATTCTTTTGTTCTTAACTGGTCCTTTGGGAATAGCTTCACAAGGTCACTGGTTAATTACCAGTACTATAGAATTCGTTTTTACTTTTGTAAGTGCCAATCCAGTAATATAAAATCAACATTTATGATGTAAGGTATCAAAATATACTCACCTGAATTCCAGGACATCTCTCTGCTCCCCTGCTGGTGTCTTTACTCACCAGCAGCACCACACTGTTTAACACCTGAGGGCTCTGCTCCTGCAACAGTCCAAAAAAAAATGATAAAGACAAATGAGCTACGAGGTTGTTTTATTCATTTTCATTCAATCAACAGGTAAAATTACATTACTTACCTGAAGGGTCATCAAAGCTTGATACAGCTGTGGCTGAGGATTTGTCTTCCTTCCGTCAAAAATAAGTGTCATCCCAGCTTCTCTGATTTCTCTCCTGCAAAGACAAAACGGCCGAAATACAGCAAAAGAACAACAAAGAGATCCCACAACCGCCGGTAAAGTACAGTCAGTCTGACTTTGTTGTTTGGATACTGACATACTGTACTGTACCTGGTGATTAAGTGGAAGTAGAGCAGCATCTGACAGATCTGCTGCCTCGTTACAGCTGATCTCCATCCAGGGTGCTCACCATAGAGTTCAACTATGGGCCTACCTGTCCTGTCTCTGCCACCTGGTGGACAAAAGAACACTTGGAAATATTGTTCTCTAGTGACTACAAAAAAGCAACATATATATATTATATATATATACAGTACATATATACACATATATACACATACATATATTCATATATATAAAAAAGCAACTCTTCAACAAAAAATGATTTGTAGTAAAATGCATAATTAAAACTGTTAATAATGAGAGATATTCTTTGGTCGTTGACTATGTACACCAGGTTTAGTTCACTTTTACTGAGTTAACATTTTAAAATATTTTTGTCAATTTTTTTCCACATTTTTGCTAACTCTTAGCTATTCTTGTTCTATTATAGTATATACAGTATATATATATATTCAGGGTGAATAGTGAACAAAACCTGTTCACATGTGAACTAATCACAACACGCCTGGAGGCCGTGCCTCAAAGGGTCAAATAGTCCTACCTGTGAGAGATGCGACTCCCAAAAAGAGAGGGTGGGCCCCGGGGTCTGGAGGTCCTAATGGGAGGTGATGTGGTCTGGGAGCAGCAGAGACAGGATGGAAAATCTTCTGTGTTCCTTCAGCTGATGGTGGAACTGCCTGAGATGAGGTCTCAATCTGCTGACAGGTTCTACTGGTCGGTGACACATCTGTAGGAAACAGGTGTCAATGAAATGCTTCTAAAACAGCTTTTCATGAATTAGAAATGAGTGACTGGAGCAGTAGGTGCACCGTACCTGGGACGACCGTCCTCCTCCTGCTCATCTTGGGTGAAACCAGCCCGAAGGCTGTGCTGTTCTTACATTTGACCACATGTAGCTGAGGAACCTCAGCACAGGAGTTCTTACTCTCCTTCCTCCGGACGTTCCGACCTTCAACAATGACCACTTCACACTTCTCAGACGTATCCACCACTGTGGTGGACAGGGAGGAACATCTGCCGTCAGACACAGATTCTGGCCGGTTCTGTGAAGCCATGGCAGACTTGGAAAATGTAGGACTCGTCCTTAAACAGTTAGGTACGGTACGTAATCTTTCCTGAGGCGTCCCTGAAGTTTCACTTGGATCAAACTGTAATCCAGGATGTTTGGCACAGCGCACATGTGACTGTTGAGGACTGTTTGAACTAGACAAATCCTCGGGGTTTATTTCTTTTCCTGTTTCGGAGTATTTTTCATTCCCATGTTTGGCAGAGTTTGTCTCCACTGGGTCCCTGAGAGCCAGACAGTGTTTGATGGTCAGCTGGTCAGGCAGATCACTGTATTTCATTGTATTTGCTTCCATGTACTCCAGACTTTGTGGGTCTCTTGCTCTCCAATAGTGAGCAGTGTTTTGTTCGCCCGACTCTTTACAAATGTCACCTATTAAAGTTGGCTGCTGGTTGATTCCAGCATCACACCACACTCCTTGGACACTACACCACGGACCCTCAGTTTCAGTCCCTGGTGGCCTGTGTCTGTCAACATACGGAGAGGAGTCCCCGTCCTCCTCCAACACAGTCGACATATTTCCTCTCCTTATCTCCTGCCCAAAAGCCACAGGGTTCTTAATAGCAGCCTGGTACGAATCCCTGTATCTGCACCTGAGCTCCTGAGGTTGAGGAACCTTTCCGATTTGTCTCCTTTTCATGCACGGAGTGCAGGGTTTCTCTGAGAATCGAACGGTGCGGACGCACTGGGAGGGTTCAACAGGGTCGAGTTGAGTCCGGTGTGACTGGGAATGATGTGGAGCAGAGGGACATCCTGTCTCTGTGGACAGGGTGGGCGCAGGAGCCTCTGAACGATGAGGATTATAGGGTTGTGGATGTGGATGGAATTGCATGTGCGCTGGTGACTGTTCCTGATGTGTCAGGAGTGTGTTTGTCCGCCTCCCTGACGGTCTAAATGACTCCAGCTGTGCACGGGGCTGCATCTGTGCAGGTCTCTGAGGGCAGATCTGTATTTGTGCTTCCATTGGCGTTTGCACCACAGACTTCTGCTGTTCACACTGTGCTTTAGAAAACAGCATTGTTGCCTGCATGATATCTATATACTCTCCTCCTGCAGCAGCCTGGCTCTGAGGCACACTCTGGTTTATATCTCGCAGGTGTGTGATCGTGTCCTTTTCTCTCACAATATTTTCATTAACAAGACTCTTGTCAGCACATTTGGCTAAATCTTCACACACAGGCTGATATGCACTCGTTGTTGTCACTGGTTCTGACCCAGTAACACGACTGTCCCATGTATTTGGTGACACCCAGCCTATAGGCTTTGGCTCTGCGTCAGTGTCTTTTAATCTGACCAGTTTGGATGAAGACGTTCCACTGGTACCAACCAGACACAGAGACACTGCAATACCGTGCTTGGCTGGACTTATTCTGGTCTCCACTGTGAAAGCAGGGGGCTGTGCAGAGGTCGATGAAAGTGAATTCTGAACAGTCACATTACACTGTGTTGGTGCAGACTCTTTAGTATGGGGAAGAGAAAACAAACCGTGGGAGGAATCTTTGGAAAAATTAGGAAGAGAGGAAGTAAGTGAAGGCTGTGGAGGAGGAAACGAAGGAGAAACAGAGGCCATACTACTTCCAACACACTGTGGCACCTCCACAAACTCAGGAACAGCCACCTTTTCCCATGGCAGCCTCACTATGCCCTGCTCTGTGGCAACGAGGTACTGGCGGAGTGGAGCTCCATGTCGGCCCTGGTTGATGTCCTTCAACCAGTCGGAGCTGAATAAACAAGGACAGTGTGTTTCAGGAATGGGAGTCTCCTCAACTAATTCCACCGCCAGTCCCTCCTCCTCCAGGAGGCTGCAGATCACGATACGTGCTGATTGGTCACAGAATGGCGCCACCTTTAGGTAGAAATCACCAGGTTGAAGAAGCAGGGGGTTGATGGGAGCCAGGTGGATGACAACTTGGTCACGTAAACAAAGGGGCCATCCTTCACAGAGGAAGAGAAGGTCAGAGTACAGAGCCTGGAAGGACAAGGGCAGTTTTAGTGTTGAGGGTCAAGAAGGTCTGGAGCAGACTGGTTATATAAGGCAGTCACTCACACATGCAGCCTGCCGCACAGTGTCTAAGATGTGCTTGGCCGGAACCAGAAAGTCCAGCAGGCACCGCAGAGCGTCTCCCTTATAGCGACTGTCGATGAGCTGGAAGAGCTGACTGAGCAGAGTGGGGGCGGTCGCTTCGAACGGCGGGTACAGCTCCGATAGAAGTTTCTGGATGGAGGTTTCCAGAGAATCAAGACTCTGAAAAAAAAACAGCAAAAGAACATAGGGTTGAGAAAAAGTATCATAAAAGTACGATGACTCACAGTTTCTACTCAGAGGCCTCGTCCTCGACCTAACGACCTGCTGAGAGAATGGCTCCACAAACACAAACAACTCAAGTGTGCTCACCGTCAAACCAACAGTCAGTCAGTCTGACAGCAAATATCCAAGTAAACACAGAGTGTGATGGCTGCTCTCAAGGCCAGCTAGCCTCCTGGTTTTTGGTTTCACATTCCCTTTGACCTGAACTCATGGCCCGACACCCACTTTTAGGACCTGCTTTATTTAGACCTCAGGGGTTAATGTATATTCATGCATGCACCGAGTCTCTGTGCAGCAGGAAGGTTGATGCGTAAATGTCACTGCATTGTAGGAATGTTGGTGTGCTGTTTTCTTCTTCAACTATGTGTAGTATGGGATTACAGCAGTGTCAGGTTGGGGGCAACGAAGCACTTGGACGGTTGAAGAGATTTAGTCTCACTTAGATGCAGCTTGTGCTTCTCATTCTTATTATTATTTTATACCAAACCAGCTCAACTGTCAATTGAATATTAACAAGACAAAATGTTGATCTTTTTTCCCCATAATTGCTTCTCCATGAGTCAAAGATTCTCAGCTGCAGTGATGAGGAAAGACAAACAGATATGAGAGATGGAAGGAGATAGGGGCGTGGCAGAGCGGGATGAAATATGTCCCTTCAGACCAGTATGTGTTCACTGCCCCTCCAGCCTGGGATCTGTTCTACTCTACTCTGCACTTTTTAAAATACAACCACAGCTTTGCTGTTTTTTTAATTAGACACTTACAGGATTATTATCGTATACTTTCAAACAAAATGTTTTTTTTTTTCCAGTAACAGCCTGTTGACCCGTCATCTCATCCTGTTATTATCATCATCCTAAACTAAACTGTGACTCAGTCAATGTGCAGAAAGGTCACAGTGACTCACGACTTTTGTAGTTGTTGACTGTCCACACCCGGCTGTGGTCAAACATAGTGACGGTCAATGAGATAACACTGCCGCAGTTAGCCATTAGCTGCATCACTCTAATGTTAGAAACTTCACCACACTGTATATTTTGAGCTTTTATGCTGCTTTACCAGTACCAGGTGTGTACTATCCTTCGTGGTGTTCTGTGACCGAAGGCAATGACACTGTGTGTTTTGGGAAGACGTCTAATATTAGCTACAGTGAACGACTCTGAAGTCATCGGATCAGTTCAGAAAAAAATATGAGTATTACACATTAAATTGAGGAAATGAGGAAATGTGCCTTTAACCCATCACTGTAGTGAGCAGCTCAAGCTCAGTGGAACCTGGTGGAGTCAAACCTGCAAAGTCCTTGACCACCAAGCCACCACTGCCCCAGTTGTCACTGATACCAATGCACATGTTGATAAGGTCTGTCAATGATGTCACAGGATTTTATTATATCATCAACAATAATGTGTTTTTTACTTCTTTTTTTTCATAAAAAAACAAACACAAAATAAGACGGTATGCTTGTCACTGAATGGTGGAGATAATGGAATATTGATAAAGTATAATTAAAACTCTCCTACAAAAAAAAAAGAAATATGAAACAAAAACAAGGCTGAAATTGAGCCCCGACACTAACCTTTTACTAAATGTTAGGCTGTAAAACCCCTGCATGCTTTGTTGTTCGTTAGTGTGTTTTATGGCTGTGTTTATGTGTGTGTGTCTGTTCCCAGTATGAGTGAGCTGCATGGACTCCTCGCTCCGCTTCGGCGCAGCATACTGCTGCTGCAGATTCACACGGCTCTATATAAACACCCAGATCAGCCACTGAAATAAATGACGACGCTCACATTACTGTGGATAAGATGTCCCAGCGTGGGAGCTGAGGACAGTTTGAATATCTCCGTCCAGTATCATTATGAAGCAGAAATAGTCTTTTCACATTCCTGACGTCAAGCAGTTTCCTGCCCAGACAAGTTCAACATTTTTACTGTGGAGAAATGAAATGAAAGTCCCGTCCCTCAGTGTGTTTGTAATTGTTTGATTTTTATGGCATAAAGATTGATGATTGATTATATTTTATTATGAAGGAATCAATTACACATCTGTGTTGTACAGCAAAAAACACAGACAAGAACAAACATCAAAACCTGAATATTGTTGTTCCACATTATGTTTTTCCCCAAACATTTGTAGCGGGTAGAATTATTACAAAAGAACTCTAAAAGACACTTATTATAAAAATATTATATTGAGAATGGTATTAAATTCTAACATCTCTAACGTCTTTTTTTTATCACTAAAAAACTTTCACTGTTTAAAATGTTTGGTATATTTTCTCCACAGGTTAAACTGATTTAATCAACAACATCTATTATTTTTATCCATGAAGGCTAAACCACTTACCAAAGGGTGTGAGTCGATGCCGGCTGACCAAAGACGGAGCCGTCCAGTTAGCCTAACCCTTAGCCTGCCTGGGTGAGGACTGTGGGAAGAAGCTCAGGCGGCTACGCAGAGGAAAACCACATTCAGGTGGAAAACATTTAGGCCGACACTTGTTCTTCACCTGTATATGTATATACATATACATATAACATTCTAATCCCATTTAGAGGAAAACAGAAGACACTATTCTTTTAAGGGAATGATTCATGTGGAAAGCACCAGTGATCGACTGCTACAATGTCCAACAACAGCTTGGATAACGGTGAGTTAAATCACACACTACTTTAATCAAAAGTGCGGAGTTGCCATGCCTCCTTAAAAAAATAAAAAATAAAACTGACAAATGTGTTGTTTTTTCCAAACACAGATTCATAAATGTCATCAGGACACACAGCTGTCACCAAAGTGTTGATGTGAACAAAAACAGCTCCAGACCTTTTACCTCAAATTGTCCAGTGACCCCAGGTCACAAACCTCGAACTGAAACCCACCAAGTTGTCACAAACAGGCTGAGTGGAGATGAAGTTCACGGGCATGAGACGGACGGACGTTATACTTTGCAACTGCACAGGGATTTACAGGGCTGGAAGGCAAACACTAATCATGGCAGCCTGGATCAGCAGGGCGGTTTGAAGGTGGCAGTAAAGTGGCAGTCGGCGGCTGAGAGGCCGGTGTTTAAGTCATCAGACTAACATGGGGATGCTGTGAATGAGCGCTGACTGTGAACGCATCTTAAACTCTTCATACGTGAGTGAATCTCATGAGAGAGTGTGTGCAGAGAGTGTTATTATGTCAAAGTGTGGCTTGGCTTTCACTGACACAAACAACTTATCCGTGGTCGGAGCGCAGCTGTGCTAAACCGAGACCAACTGGAACCCATGGATATCACAGCAAAACAAACAGGCAAGTGAGGTCAGATACAAAAAAATAAAAACTGAATAAATATTTACAATATGGACAAAAA